GAATGGAAGGCAGACGCTCAACCACTGAGCTACTCAGGCATCCCTGTACTCATTTCTGATGAGGAAATGGAAGCAGGGAAAAGTAAGTAACTTGCTCAAGTTCATACAGCTAGTCTGTGAAGTAGCTGGATTGCAATTTAGGAGGCCCTGCTAGGAACACACCGTAACTACCGTGCTATGATCCTTACCCTTACCTCTACTGTGCTTGTATTTATATTAATTCTGGACCACTGTGAATATATATTTCCTTTGTCTTTGGTTTTTGCAGAGTGAGGGTGCTTGCTTTTAGATCACAATAAAATCCTCTGAGATACACCTTTCACCCTATTTCCCAAATCTCTTACAGTGGACTTGAGGCTTTGCAGCTCTTTTTGATGGAGAACATCCTCCAAAAAGATTTACTTTCTTTTTTCCACTTTTATTAAGATATAACTGACATATTAAGGTATACACCATGATGGCTTGATAGATGTATACAATGCAAAATGATTATCAAAGAAGTTAACGTCCATGAGTTCATATAGTTGTAATCTTTATTCTTGCGAGAATGTTTCAGATCTATTCTCTTAGTAAGTTTCAAATATATAATACAGTGTTGTTTCCTATAGCTACTATGTCTTCCATTTGTCCCTAGAACTTACCTATCTTGTACCGGGAAGTCTATACCTTTTCCCTCATCTCCCAACCCTACCTCTGGCAACTAATATGTTCTCCGTTTCTGTGAGTTCAAATTTTTAATATTGTACATATAAGTGAAACCATACAGTATTTTTCTTAACATAATTTCACTTAACATAATGCCCTCAAGGTCCATTTGTGTTATCACAAATTGCAAGATTTTCCTCTTATGGCTGTATAATATTCCTGTGTGTGTGTGTATGTGTGTGTATGTATACACATTTTCTTTATCCCTTCATCTGTCAATGGACACTTGGGTTACTCCCATGTTCCGACTACTGTAAATGCTGCTGCACTGAACATGGGGGTATATGTATCTCTTTGAGATGGTGATTCTGTTTCCTTCAGGTATATACCTAGAAGTGGAGTTGCTGGACCAGATGGTAGTTCTACTTTGAATTGTATGAGGAGCCTCCATACTGCTGTCCACAGTGGCTGAACCAATGTATACTCCCATCAACAGTGCACGCGGTTTTCCTTTTCTCCACATCCTCAACACTTTTGGTATCTTTGTCTTTTGGATGACAGCCATTCTCACAGGTATGGGGTGATACCTCATTGTGTTTTTTTTTTTTTTTTAAAGATTTATTTATTTATTTATTTATTTATTTATTTATTTATTTATTTATTTATTTATTTATTTATTCAGAGAGAGCGAAAGAGAGGCAGAGACACGGGCAGAGAGAGAAGCAGGCTCCATGCAGGGAGCCCGACGTGGGACTCGATCCCGGGTCTCCAGGATCACACCCTGGGCTGCAGGCGGCGCTAAACCCCTGCGCCAACAGGGCTGCCCCCTCATTGTGGTTTTGATTTGCATTTCCCTGATAATTAGTGATGCTGAACAACATTTTATGTACCTTTGGCCATTTTTTTGTATGTCTTCTTTGGAAAATGTCTATTGTGGTCCTCTGCTCATCTTTTAATTGGATTATGTAGCGTTTTGTTTGTTTGTTTGTATTTTTGGCTATTGAGTTGTATGAGTTCTTTTATATTTTGGATATTCACCCCTTACCAGATTATGATTTACAAATATTTTCTCTCATTCCATTGCTTGCCTTTTCATTTTAATGGTTTTCTTTGCTTTGCATTAATTTTTTACTTTGATGTAATTCCACTTATTTACTTTTGCTTTTGTTTCATTGTCTTTGCTTTTGATATCAAATCCAAAAAAAAAAAAACATTCCTAAAACTAGCAGATTATCCATTGTTTTCTTCTAGGAGTTTTATGGCTTTAGGTTTTATGTTCATGTCTTTACTGTTTTGAGTTAATTTTTGTGTATGGTGTGAGAGAGTGGTCTAGTTTCATTCTTTTGTATGTAGGATATCCAGTTTTTCCAGCACCATTTATTGAAGAGACTCCCTTCACCATTGTATATTTTTGATGCCTTTGTCATAAATTAATTGATCATATGTGTGTTCAGTAAACAGACATGCATATTCATTTCTGGCTCTCTATTCTGTTCCATTGATATATGTTTTTTTTTTTATGCCAGTACTATACTGTTTTGGTTACTATTGCTTTGTAATATAGTTTGAAATTAGGAAGTGTGATGCCTCCAGCCTTTTCTTTTTAAGATTGTACTATTTGAGGGGACAAATTTTAGCATTGTTTTTTTCTATTTTGTGAAAAATACTGTTGGAATTTTGATAGGGACTGCATTGAATCTGTAAATTGCTATATATTGTAATATAGACATTTTAATAATATTAATTCTTGCAATCTATGAACACATTTCCATTGATGTGTCTTCTTAAATTTCTTTTGTCAATGTCTTATCATTTTTAGTGAACAGATCTTCTTGATTAAATTTATTCCTAAGTATTATATTCCTTTCGGTGCAGTTGTAAATGAGATTGTTATCTTAATTTCACTTTCTGATGGTTTATTGTTAGTGTATACAAGAGTATTTTCAGAGAAAGTTTTTTTAATAAATAAACTTACTAAGTTCTTTATACGTGAAAATATTTTTTAACTTACTCTCATAATTAAGTGATGTTACAGCTGGGTTAAAATTTTAGGGTTCAAAGTTCTTTTTCTTCAACATTTTGAACATTTATCTTAATTGTTTTCAGCACTTAGTGTTGCTGTTGAGAAGTTTGATATCAATTTGATTTTTCTTTAAAGATGATTTACTCTTTGAAAAATTTTAGGATTTTCTCTTGATCTATGATCTCCATAAATTTTACTATAATGTGTCCAAGTGTGAGTTTAAAAAAAATTATTCCACCTAATGATGTATTTCAATATGAGGTTTTCCTCTTTAATTACTGGGAAATGTTAGGTGACTATTTCTTCAAGTGCTTCTATTTTTTCTTTCCCCTTCCAATCCTATTACAGAGATACTGAAACTATTTCTCTCATGTCTTATATCATCCATGCCATCTTCCCCTCCAACTTGTTCTTCTGCTATATCCAGTTTGCTCATTCCATTAGAGCAATCTGCTGAGTTCTTTATTCCAGCAGTTATAGTTTCACATGAAGCACTTGCAAATTATATTTCTTCCTAGGTACCTCATCCTGTTCCATCCTTTCTTTTTAAAAATCTCTTTCAAATATGTATTGTGCCTATTTTAAATTCATATTTTGGCCTCAGAATTTTGCTTTATCTAGTGAAGGTTATTCAGCTAGTTTTTCTTTTATGCCAGTACATTTTATTAGCTTTTCAGATCCACCAACCTGTCTCTCAATCTGTGGCTTATCCAAGGTTTCTGTGCTGGGGAGGGAGGTCATTTGTTTTCCAGTTTCTAGAATTTCTTTGTAGGAGCTTGAGATAAGCAACTAAATCTTCATGTTCTACCATAATCAACACTTCAGTCATAGTTATGTTGAATAGAATGAAAAAATAATTCACCTGAATTTTTCACTAAATGTTTCTCTTTCTCAGTTGTCAACTTTGATCTTAGATTCTTCTGAGTGGCCTCAACTTAATGTCTTTTTTATTTTTTACAATGCATTCTCTAAGCACTACTCCTTACAATAACAGACTTCAAAATACTGAATTTAGGAAGATGGAAACAAGGAGACCACAACAAAGAAAGCAAGAATAGAAGCAATAGTTTCCATTCATTCTAAATTTCCATTTATTGGAAAATGGAATTGCAATATAGTATTGCACTATATACATGTACTAACTATGCCAGATACTAAGTAATGCCAATCTGTGTTTTCTAAACCCCAAACCTTCTCAAATTATGGTGCAATTATGTACTAATTTTATTTGTTAATTGTATATCTAACTTTAATAATAGAAACTTTAACTTTCAACATGCAAATATTGACATGTAGCTTACTATTTCTATGATATTTGGAAACTTAATTTCTCAAAGCCTTAGTTTTCTGCTCTATGGAAACATATTAGATATCTTCAAATGCTGTAGTAAGAACCGAATTAGAAACTTTTAGATATGTGATAGAAATACTAGTGATAGAAATAATGATATAGTAGGTAGATAATGCCTGGAGAATAGTCCTATTCAGTAAATTGTAGATATAATTATCAAGTTGCTCTTTATATTATTTTTTATTGATAATTTAGAGATCTTCTAAAATGTTTAATCCCATAAATATTTATTTAAATAGTTCTAGAATAATGTCAAGGCTATTTTCCTGTAGATACAAAAATAAAAGTATAATCCCAAAGAACTAGCAAAACACAAACCCAGCATTCTTCTGAACTTTGCAGATCTGCAGTCTTTCTCCTGAATCAAAAGTGCATTGAGTGCAAGCTAGTGCTGTGCTTATGGTAGATTCAAGTTGCATATTCTTTCACTGTGTATTTCATGTTTTACATTTTAAAATGAGAACAATTGATGAAAAATTATATGGAATTTTGAAAAAATTGGTTTATCAATCATTTTATTTCTCCTTCAATTTGTTAGTGCCTAAAATGGATCTGAAAAAACATTGAGAGCATAAAGTAAAAGGAGAATATACTTCAAAAATAGTAATCTTTCAAAAACTCAGAAATTATAAAAAAGGGCAGAAAACTCCCAACTTGTAGGCTTTTCACTAATAAATAAAACCAACCAAACCAAACTATCCATTTCAAGATAGCCCTCTAATCTTCAACTTTTATAATTTTTCATTTTGATTAAAATTATTAAAAAATTGAAAAAAGATGGAAGAAAAACTAAATGGAACAAACTTTACAACACTCTTCCTACCTTTCTTAGTGGTGGTTATTTCCAGTCACATAAAATTTATTTTCTTTCCAAGCTTTTATGTTTGTAATTTTGAGAAAAATTGCATAAATCACAGCAAATACAAAAAGCAGAAGAAATCCATTATAGAATTTTTTTTCAGAAGTATATAGATTGAGTACCTTAGCTGGAAAGCCAGTTGAACCAGGACATCCCTTTTTCCTTAAGGTTGGTGTGTGAGCTGGAAGAGGAGTACTGTCTACAATCTGAATTCAGGAGCAAAAAAGGAAATAAATGTCATGAAGTATTCCATCTGTTTCAAACATCACTAAAAATAAATCAAAGTAAATAAAGCCAAGCAACATCAATAAGGCAAAAAATATCTCAATGATATTTATTTAACACTAAAATTCTCATAGTGTTGATAATTTAAATTTCAGCCTGCAATGTCTACAAATGAAATAGTTCTTCAATTAGCAAAAAAATATTGGTCTGGAAATTTAAAAAGAAATGATTCAGAAAAGAGAATTCACAGAAGAGAACAAATGTCACAGCACATTGCCTACATAAAAATGAGGATATTAATCTTCAAGTTCATCTTAAAATGTCTCACATTCTTAAAAGTATCTGATTTTTTAAAAGCATGATTTATAACCAAATACTTAGAAGATTCTCTTAACTCTAACTTCTATATACAGAATGTATGTTGCATATGTGGAACACAATTCAGTGGAGTTGTGTTTGTGTATGCATGTGGAGAGAGAGAAAGAGAGACTGATTAGTGGGATTTTGTGCAGAAATCAATTTCCAAAGAAGGGAGTTAGAGTATTTAATATTATTGGAATTCAGAACTTAATATACATATTTAAAAGTTAAAAGAATTATCTTTATAAAATATTAATGTACAATATTACTTTTAATGAAAGGAACCAGTGATTTTACTGGAAAAGAGACAGCACTTATTTAGCAAAGTATTAAAAAAAAAGGCATAAAGAATTACTTCATTTTAGAATGCTAAGCAAGCAAACAAAAGGAAAAGGCTAGCTTTGAATAAAGTTATAGTTTAAAATATTAAAAAATAGATGACTCTTTGCCTTTGTTATTATAAAAACAGAGTATTTTATACTATACTGCCCTATAACCTTAGAATGGAACCTCTCAGAGTTTTCTGCTTAATTGTGAGTTTAGTTCTAATTTAAATTTACTTTTAAATAGCTTGAAAAAGCTTTGAACCAAATTTACAAATTAATGTTTCAATAGGTAAACATGAAAGATAAAAGAGAGGAACAGTGAAAACCTACACAAAAGTTAATAAAAAAAATAGGAAACAAAAATGACATTATAATTTACCCAGAAAGTCTAAAAGAAGCTTAGAATAAAAAGGAGTGAAGTAAGGGTGCTGGATACAAGATCAACAGAGTTCACAAAGACCATAAGAATGTATATTTGGAAAAGATCCCATTCACTGTAGCAACAAAAACTTTAAGGTACCTAGGAACAAATGTAACAAGCAATATGAGGTAAATTCATAAAGAAAATAACAAAACTTTACTGAAGGATATAAAAGAAAATCTAACTGATATGTATACCATGTTCATAGATGGAAAGACCCAATCACAAAGATGTCAATTCTCCTCAGATAAATCTGTAAGTTTAATGCAATTCCAATCAAAAGCTCCACATGGAACTTGACAAACTGATCCTAAAAGTCAAATGTAAAACTAAAGGGTCAAAAAGAAAAGGAAAAACAAGGTGGGTGGGAGTGGCTAATCATACCAGATGAAGTATTTTAGGGTCACAGTAATTAAGACAATGTGATATTGATGCAGGGATACAGAGAACAGAAGAGAATAAAGAACTCCCAAACAGACCCATATATATAAAGCAGAGAGTGGTTTATAAATAAATGGGGGGAAATGTAGTAGAGTTGGTTGTTCATATGAGAAAAATAGATGTAGAACCCCATTTCACATAATATGTAACAATAAATTTCAGTTAAGGTCATAAACATGTAAAATGAAAGTTTTTAAGCTTTTAGAAAAAAAGTATGGAAGAAAAATTTTAAATGCCGCATAGGGAAGAACTGCTTTAGAAAGATATAAAAAATAGAAGTCATAAAGGAAAAGATTAATAATATATGTAAGCCTACTTTAAAATAAATAATGTTGCAAGATGAAAAGATACCAAATAAAAATTTAAAATAAGCCACAGACTGGAAGAAAATATTTGCAGTGCACAGAGCCAGCTAAGGATTAGTATCCAGATTATGTAAAGAACACTTACAAAAGAATAGGAAAAATAATTCAATAGAACAACAGATGAAAGATATAAACAGGCAAACCACCACTGATCAATAAACATATAAAAAGATGCTGAATTAACAGTTGAGATCAGAGAAATGCAAATTTAAAAAATGCCACTCCATACCCATCAAGTTGGCAATAGTTAATGTCTAACAGTACCAAGGGTTGGTAAGGATGTGGGAAAATGGGGAACTCTCACACATTGTCGGTGCAAGTGAAAATTGGTCCAACCACTGTAGAAAATAATTTGGCAAAATCTAGTTAAAGTTGAAAATGCGTATACCACACAACCCAATAATTCAGCTTTCAAGTATATACACTAAACAAACTGCACATTTGCAAAAGCAGACAGTTACTAGGATGTTCACATCAGCACTGATTGTAATAACAGAAATTGGAAACAATCTAAATATCTAGCAATAGGAGAATGCATAAATGGTTATATTGTATTCATACAATGAAATACATAACAGTTATAATAATGAACTAAATGGACATGTATCTGCATGAGTAAAGCTCAAAAGCATAATGCTGAATGAAAGGAGTTACAGAGAGATACAGATGTATGTTTGCATAAAACATAAATATAAAACAAATGTTCTCATATATCGTTTATGGATGCAAATAAAGTGAAATGTAAAACCAAGGAAGAGAATGCACATCAATTTTAAGGTCTTTAGATATGTCTGAGAAAGGAGAGAGGGGAATAGTATAGGGAAGGGTGTTTCAATTGTGTGGAATATTTTTTCTTTGAAAACAGTTGAAAAGAACAGGGCAAAATGTTCACATCTGTTCAATCTGTGGATGGTGGTTACATGTGTTTATTATTCTCTGTGTGCTTGAAATAGTTCAGCATTTAAAATGTATAAATTCAAAATATTAAAACAATGATTTAAAAAAAGCAGAGACTCATCAGCTTAACCTGTCTTAAGGTAGTCTATCATAGGGTTGGAAAAAAGTCAAGTCAGAATCTAACTACAAATCACACTTCACTTCAGATAGCTTTCCAAAGTGAACTATCTGCTTCTCTTGGAATGCTAGACACAGCTCTAGAGATAATATGGGAAACAAAGGGGCTATGTCAGAACTGCAAGCTGAGTGAAGAATCTAAATTGCATCTTGAGGCAGGAGGCATGACACATTCTTCTGACTCATTGAGGAAATGACCTCTGTTGAGAAAACAGGCTGACTGGCTGTTTGAAACCACTGACTGACGTGAGGTGCAAAACAACACTGGTTTTTTGTACTATTACAAGACATGACATGGTTGAATGCCATCTGACTGAACAGTTAGAATAAACTATTCAGTGACCAGCAGTGGCAATTTTAATTTTAAGCTGTACTAAGTAACAGTTACATATGTCTTATTAGACTTCTGAGATGAATTAAAATAGGAGAATGACACCTGACACTGCCATGTGCCTACCAGGTTTGTATCTGACAATTCTAGAATGTAGATAACTCTGCCCTCTGATCCACAGTTCTCTACTTAATATTAAGATTACCTTTAAATTAAGTAAATATTGTTTATTTTAGGTTGAATCTGAGGGGTGATTTTCTATTTTTGTTTTACAGTCCTATTTACATTATCAGTGAAATGCAATGATCTCCAACATACTGTGACTTATTACATAATATATTTGATTAAAAGAAGAGTCAGATTTCACTTGTTTTTTGCAATTTCCTCTTTTCTGACACAAGTGAAAAGTTGAGGAGCATGACTGCTCCAGTGAGGCACCTTAAGTGGCTCAGCTTCACTAGATGTAGAAGGAGATGTGGACCTTGACTGGACGTTAACCTTGACGTTCGGATTCCGTACATATGTGCTCTCAACGGGGTCGGTCTAGGAAGATAAGTCAGGAAAAACAAAAACCCAAGAAATCACTTTCAAACAATGTGCAGCTCTTAGCAAATTTCTGTAAGGCATCATCATGATAACATTTCTTGAGAAGAGGAAAACGAACCTCAGTTTGAATATTCGCCTTCAAGATCTGTCATTACACAAAAGCATAACCTCTAGTTCTAATGTAAACAAAGATAAAGATAGCAACAGTTAATAAAATGCTCCCATCTTCACTGCCTGCCTCCTGCTTTGGGCACTGGTCTCTACTATATGTTCTTGACTTGTATTCTGCAAGTGAAATACATGTGAACTAAGTGCAGAGTACTTAACAGAGTATGTGCTGCAGATCAGAGATAATTTTGTCCTTCATAAGAAGGAAATCGGGTCGTCTACCAGGCATTACTTGATTGTAAAGGAAACTAATTTATCAGCTTTGTGTTTGTCATTGGGGACAACACTGCCCTTTTATTCTGCAGCAGGGGAAATACCAGCACTTAAATTCAGTTGCAGCCTTTTAACCAAGTGTTTTTAGAAACTCAAAATGCTTGGGGTTAAAATTTAGCATTCAAGATCTTATGGAGCATACTGATGGATGATATATTCAGCTTGGCAATTTTCAAAATTACCAGGACTGCATTTTTGAAATGAAAGGCAATGAAAGCAAGCTGGAAAAGAGGCTGGAGAAATTTGTTTCAACTGTGCTGTACAGAAAGACCAGAAGTTACAATTCAGTAAAAAGAACAATCAGCTTCAGGATTTTAAACATGTACTTAAAATATTTTCTCTTTTCCTTTATTATTATTATTATGGTTATTCTTTTAGGGACTGGCTAGTGGGCTGGCTAACACTGCAGGAGTCCTCTACTGGGCACAGGCAGGCAGGCAGATTTTCTGGCAAACCACACAGCAAGATTTTTGTGGGGATAACTCACATGGTTCCCAACCAGGCCTTGTATCTTGAGTTCCTGCACTCAGGAGAAGTGGGGGAGAAGAGGCGTCCTAGGGAGAACATCTAAGGAACTTGCAGCCACAGCTATGTACCATCAGCTAAGGAAGTATTCCCATGTTTTAAAAATGGGGAACTGAGGCATACCAGCTGTACATCGGCTCTGAAGTGTGCAATGTGGCTTATTTCATAAAACTAGTACCTCAAGTTCAGTATTCTTTTTGTGGTACAGAAGCATCTCCACGGTAAAGGTACTCAGAGCAACTGAACAGTCATGCAGAATGAGTTACACTGTCTCTTTTCCTGACTGAACTTCCACCAGGAATAGGAGAGTAAAAGAAAGAAGAAAATAAGACTCTTAGACATGTTTTGCCCAATTCACAATTTCACTCAGGGACAGTCATGGAGAAGGTACTCCTTTTAATTATTAATATGGAATATAAATCTGGGCTGGAAATAAGGCCAGAAAGATCCTACTTCCTAACCATCTCCTCCTTCTAGTTTTCATGAGATTACAGAAATTGCAAGCTGAATAAGAACCATGGGGCAGGGGGTTCAGTTAACATGGAATTGATAAGCAAAGCAGTACGGATGCATCTTACATTAATAAGAATTTAAAATGACCTCAAATAATCAAGTTAAGTAGCTCATAAAGTATTTAAGAAGTGTCCAAGTAGGGGATTTACTAAGTGCAAAAAATGGGTCATTTTAAATAAAATTTAAATTTCTGACCTGTCACTCCAAAGCCTTTATTATATTAGCCCACAATTTGAGTGAAAGACATAAAAGCAGACGTTCCTGTGCACAGGATAATGCTATGAATGGGACTGAATAGCTAATAGTGGCTTTTCTACCTCTGAATCCAATTACTTTAAAACTACTTCAAAAATGAGAAAGGCAGGAGCTCGCTGCTTTCAGTAGTACTGGCTGACAATTTAAAGCAGGTCTGCTCTTTGAGCCCTGTGAATATGTGCTGCCCAGAATTGAGCAGGCAGTTTTATTACTTACACTTTCTTGTGCTGAAATTAGAACACACCGCCTTAAGACATTTTGTCAGTATGTGCCCTGGTGAAAGGTTTACTCACAAAAATCATCACACCTAAAAACCAATCCCACTTCCCATCCCCACTCCATAGTTGGTCCTTAAAACATTTATCATCATGTTTTATGACCCCATGAAAATGTGACATGATGACAGGGTGATATTGAACAAAGGGAAAAATATATCATCAAAGTTTATTAATCCTTGATTACAGAAGTTAATGACTCTTAAGAACTCTCAAGGCTTTAAATACATACCTCTTGGCCCTTCTTTAGAATTATTGCCATTTATAAAAAATCTTTTCCTCCTAACAAGTTTTTATTTATAAATAAAGAAGAAAACAACAAGAATGAAAATAGATTTTGAAATTATTTTCTTAGTTGCATGAAGTAAATAAACCTGGTTATTCAAAAGAGGAAACATTTAGATTTAAAAACTAACCCAATATCAACCTAATAAAAGAGAATAAGGAAAATTAGCATACTAGCATTTTGGAACTATATGCTCTTAAAACAAATTCCAGAGATTAAACAAAATCAGGTAGTTTTTGTTAAAACTAATTAAAAATAAGTAAAAATATTTAAGTAATATTTTGAGATGACATTGAGTATATTTAAAAAGCTGAACTATGCCATTTACAATGATACTCTGATTTTAAAAAAAACCCAATTATGGATTTTTTTTCACTTAATGTATAAGTGAAGTTAAAAAATTACCACTTTATTTTTCAAAAGTATGTTTCTTAGAAAGACAAGGAACAAAGTTTGGTAAAGATGAAATATCAGAAAGGGAGACAGAACATAAAGACTCCTAACTCTGGGAAACGAACTAGGGGTGCTGGAAGGGGAGGAGGGCGGGGGGTAGGGATTAATGGGTGACGGGCACTGAGGGGGGCACTTGACGGGATGAGCACTGGGTGTTATTCTGTATGTTGGTAAATTGAACACCAATAAAAAATTAATTTATTAAAAAAAAAGATGAATAAAACTCTTGGCAATAGGGAAGCCCGGTGGCTCAGCGGTTTAGCGCCGCCTTCAGCCCAGGGCCTGATCCTGGCGACCTGGGATGGAGTCCCACATCGGGCTCCCTGCATGGAGCCTGCTTCTCCCTCTGCCTCTGTCTCTGCCTCTCTCTCACTCTCTCTGTGTCTTTCATGAATAAATAAATAAATTCTTAAAAAAAAAAAAAAACAAAACTCTTGGCAATAATGTTTTGAATATCAGACTAAAAAAATTTTTCCCCATATCTTCTAAAAGCTATTAGCAGCTAATACCTGTTAAATTAAGAGATTTACACATTTCATTTCCTTTATTGATTACTGCAAGTATAAACAATATCTCAAAAGAGGTTTAACAGGAAGAATAAGAAAAATGTAATACCACTTACATATTTTCTATATCAAAGTGTTAATTATCACCAACAGGACTGGTTTTTAAAGATGTTATTAATTTTATCTATAATTATATGCTTACTGATACATTTATAATTAAGAACTTATTCTTCCACTAAAAAGCAATTAATTTTACTGAACTTTCGGAATACTCAATAACTATAAGCCAGACCTTGCAAACAGCCTAAAATTAATTTAATAATTAATTGGCAATGATGCAGATATAACATGGCAGCAAAGCAACTGATTAGTAGCACATCAATTATGTTTACCTTCTGAACCTTTATCATGGTTATAATACAATCAACAATAGTACACTTAAATCATGAAAGTGAAATTCTTTGTGTTTTGAAAACTTGTATAGCATTACATGTAAGCAATGACTTGAATTAGTAATGCAGGAAAAGCTGATAAATATGATATACATCAATAGCAGGAAAAGCTGATAAATATGATATACATCAATAGTAGAGATATCACAATTCAGTAACTGCGTTTATGGTTGTAGAAAGAATGATAAGGAAAAAATAGTGGAAAGCAATATGTAATACTAACTGGACAGGACATTCTAATAGTATTTGGAGGAAGATCTTGGAAAAAAATCTTAACTGAACAGTATAAGCAATTCACTCAATATTTCTTTTTTTTTTAAAATAAATTTATTTTTTATTGGTGTTCAATTTGCCAACATACAGAATAACACCCAGTGCTCATCCCGTCAAGTGCCCCCCCTCAGTATTTCTAAGCTGCACTCTATTGAGAAAGATGGGGAATATTTTTATGTAGATGTGATTTTTTTCTATTTTTTCGGTTAATTCTTTTTTCCTGAGTAAGCCTACTTCAAGGCATTAGAAACACCTACTTCCTCCAATGTGGTTTTTTACCTACTGCTCTACTGTTTGGGAAAAAAAAAGAAAAGAAAAAAAATAAACTGAGTTATCAGCAGTATCATCCACAATGCCTAACATTGTCATGTAAAAAGTCTATAAGGCTTCCTGAATCTATTAGGATTTCCCTATCAAGTGATTTACAAAATGTAGTTTTAGGGTAGTTCAGTAAAATAGAAAAGTTTTCTTTCCCCCTAGGATTAGGTATGATTTTTAGGTGAACTTCTCAAATTATGCAGTATGGTGTTCTGATAAATAATAAAAACAACTAAGACAACTCATCTTGAATGTGTATCAATGGGCCTTTTCTACTTCAAAAATAATTAGAGATTTGAACAAATACAAGAAGCAAAACACTCATAAGAAACCTGGTTTTAAAATAAAAGATACCAAGATTTGATACAGATTAGATATAGATTTTTTTAAAAAGCTTACATCTAACATGTTGTCTTGTATTTGTAAATATAAAACAGAAAAAATATAATTATCATCAATTAACTTTAGCCGGAAGTATTTTGGATACAAAGTGGCAAGTAATCCAATTTTTTGTATTCAAAAACACTTTATAACCTCAAACTTTCACTGATATAATTTTTTAATTTTTTGTTAATTGCGCTTATGATAAGAAAACAGTATTATGGAAATACCTTATCATTTGGAAAACAGCAAATCTTTTTATCATCCTAATAATAAACCACTGAAGACTACAACTAGTAAGTACAATCTTACTAATTACAAATAATGTAACTTGCTACTCTTTAAGAAAATTCTCCTTACTTTCAATAGATCTATTTGAGTATCTATTCTGTAGAATTTACAAATGTTCTTGGAAAACAAAAGTTAAGCTACATGTTAGCTATTTATAATCTCTGTTCCACTCTAAAGGAATAATCTAAAATGAAACATTCAATGTGTCTCACTATTAATGAGAACACTGTGGACCCTTCCATAACCACTTATATTCAGTCATTAATAATAATATTAGTAACAAACCTTACTTGTGCTATGCCTAATTGAATAATGCCACTTATTAAGTATGTAAATGGAACCTTATAGCAGACTGGAAATAAAAATATAGCAAACCCTAAATAGTGATACCTCATTTATATGATACATAAGAGTCACTTAAAGAATTTTAACTATTACCTATTGCTCATCTGAAAACACTGTATATTACACAATCATATGTCACTGTTGGATTCTAGACCACTGTTAGCAATGGTAGCCATCTGTGTCCTACTGTAACACACTGCCATCTCTCAGGACCACTGAGGTGCCTCACTATTGCCACTGAGATGCTTCTCTGCATCTGCTGAATACTTGATGATTTTTCACTCAACTCCTTCAGAGATATCACTTTTCAGAGGTGGTTTTTAAACTTTTTCAGATATATAACTAAGAAAAAATTGAAGAAAGCCTGGAAAGAAGATTATTAAGCCTATCACAGCTGTATTAAAAAAAAACCAATAGGTTTTGCATCAATAGGCTCTAGTTAAGTATGGCTTATTCATACCCTACAGAATGAAGATACAGACTAAATAGTAGGAACCTTATAATAGCTCTTTCCCTCAAAAATTTCTCCTTATATTAAGATTCACAGAAGGGCTCTAGGAGGCCAAAGCCCCTAGAAATCTGCAAGGAAGTGAGATATAACTAATCTATATGTAACCAGAAAAATAAAATCTCTCTGAATTATAACAATATTTCTTAAAAAGAAACTAGTTAAAAATTCAGTTCAGTCTGATGATTTGAACCTAATAGAATTGGGCATATAACATTTTGATCTTCCTTTCTAGAGGTTATATGATATACTTAACACATACTCAGATTAATTTGATAAATCCAAGCACCCAAAGGTTTTAACTCTCTAAATGTCAAAATCATTAAAAAAAATCAGTTGAACGGCAATCTTTTCAGAAACTTTATCAATCAATGAGATATTAGTTGAAGTCATAGTTTCCATCTGCCACACCACTGGTATCTGATCTGCTTATTCACTATTGAACAGTAGTTTGGAAATATGTGCTATGTAAGGGTTAATCATATTTATTTTGCCATCAATGCATCATGACATCTGAAAGAGCACCAGGAAGCAGTGGGTGACCCTACTACTCCCCATGCTCTTTGTAAACCAGAGTTTACAGAATTCTCAAGAATTCTGGATTTAAGGTGTTGATCAATACCAATGATTATGAAGCTGACAGGTGAAAGTTTCTTTTATTTTTTTTATTTTTTGAAAGTTTCAAAGCTTGTATCTACCACAGGTGTTCCTTTTAATGCTACTATTTAACATGGTGTGTGAAAACCAGAGCAAACAAAACCAGCTAGTCCATGCTTCTCAACTAGGGAGCGTGTATGTTGTATATATTGATGTTGGGGTGGACGTTGGTTTAGGAAAATTTGAGATCTTTCTACAAACACATGCCCCATTCTGGGGCATAACAGAATCTTGCAGGATAGAGGTAGTGGCTAGCCCATTTAATATTGAGAAACACTGAGCTAGCCTTAGCATAGGATGATGCTTATAGTTTGTTATCAATTCATACAGAAAGAATGTCATGATATTTTAAAAATCTTGGTATCTTAGAATATAAACAATTTATTATTAATATTATTGCCTTAAATCTATAAATAAATTTAGGGATATTCCTTTGAACTACATTAAATAATCTATCAAGATTTCTGCAGAGATTTTACATAAAATTATAGTCAATAAAATCTATAACTTGTCCCAAATTCTTTTGAACTCTGAATAATATGAATCATCAAGGCTTTTTTTCCCAAAATAATTAAGATCTGTAGGAAATCTCTACATATTTGCTTATACTATATTCATATTTAGAAAGTCATTAACTCTGCATGTGATCAATTTGCAAAGCATATGTTAGGATCACATTTTACCCCTAATAAAAATTTAAAAGATACCTTACCATTTTACCAGTTCGGTTACTGAAATTTATATGAACATTCCTAAAGCTCTACGGCCAAAGCCACAAAAAGAAAAAAAAAAAAAAAGAAAGAAAGAAATAAAGAAAAGAAAAAGAAAAAGAAAAAAAGAAAATGCAGAAAGGCAGAGTAGCAATAGCAGGAGCAGCAGCACACAGCATGCAGTAAAGGTAATAGTACATCACGGAGACGTTAGCGTGTTCTGCAACCACAGGCAAGAAAGGTAAGAGACAGGGTGGAGGGCATGGGGTGGGGACACACAGTGTAGTAGTCTCTTACACGTCTGCCTTTGCTAGCTGGAGTACAGGACGGAGAGCGCTTCAACAAAGAAAGGAGAATACTACATGTTACAAATACTCACACATGACTCTCGATGGCTACCGCTGTATTAACAGACAAAGTATATCAACATACACATAAAGACATATTTTGCGATACGTTGAAAGTACATGTATTTTCAGGAAAAACTGGAGGGCAGGACAGTAAAGAAACAGTTGCTCAGACTTGGCCTATGATGACAAGCTTTCACTAGACCCTGCACAAACAGTGACCCACAGAATAACACTCCATCAAGTGATGGATAATTTCTTCTCTGTAAAGGTTGGCAGTAGCGACTGGAAACATGAAAAAAGAAAGGATTCAAATAATTCTGATTTAGTGTCGGGTAGCATTTAATAAAATACTTTAATCTTTTATCTACCAAGGTCTTACTCTTTTCAAAGATGCTTCTTTTAAAGTATAAAAGTTTAATTAGGCCTTCAGAATTACTGATAATGAATTAAATCAAGAAGTCACTTCACCAATACTGTTCAACCTGATTAGACATCAGGCTTAAGTCAAGAGGGACCTTCACCTTTCTGACGTTAAAGATTAAGTAATTAGGGTAAAACAGCAGTAACAAGCAGTTCATAATTAATTGTACTGAAAAATCTTCCAAGTCTCTGGAACTTGGTGATGTATGAACAGCAGAGTTTTACACAAATAAACTGTATCTGCCTTGGGCAATTCCCTATAGGCAACTGAACCTAACATTTGTTTACTGAGGGTTTGCACTACGTCAGGTTTTTAGAAGACACAGAAGGCATACTATTCACAGACTGGTGTGGAAGACACCATGCCGTCAACAGTGTGATGAATGCTGGGACAGAGGTGAGCTGCATAGTTTTCCAGGTAGAGGGTGGTGGTGGTGGCATGTACAAGATTTGTAGGGGGACTAGAGGATGGATTTTATCAACTGAGTCTACAGGAGCCACAAATTTCAGAGAAAACTTGAAGCATGACAAACATCCTTCCAGATGTTCAGTGTTATTTGTACAATAGGAAATTTTATTTCTTTCTAGGCGGAGGGAGCATGACCTGACCACAATGTGCCAAAGTGTTCATGGCAAATCAGGATTAGAAGGCCTGCAGATTCCTCAGCAGGCTTTTGTTTCTTTGGTCATCCTCATTGCTTATGTAGAACTACCCTCCCTAACCATGCCCAGCCCGCCTAGTGCACACTCCTCTTTCACAGCTGCTCTTGCTCTGTGGACTACACCCGTCCATGTGTAAAGACCCCGCTCAGACACTGGCTCTTTCAGAAAGGCTTCCTGCAGGCGTTTCGTTCAGTCAGATAGCTCTGCTTTATACTCCCATGATACACAGACCATACCTTTTATTAGTGTGCTTCTCCCAATTGTGTTATAATTATTTATTTACATGTATGGTTTTTCCATCAGACTCAGATCCTTAAGGATCTAGAATATGCTTATCATAGGGCCTGTAAATGTAAAAATCCTTAATAAATACTGAATGAATCCTTCTGACACTCCTCAATACTGAACCTAAATATTTCCCATTACTTTCTACATGGCACAGAATATAACTATCGATTTTTTTCTCTAACGGTAAGATAATCATTTTGACGCCTACTTCTTCTGATTTATCTTAGCAGCTACCATTGTGCAAAGTATGGTACTGCATGTGTAGAAAGTGCTAAAATGTTTAACACAGAGAAGCTTTTACTTACTGGGTATCTCTACACTTCTAGAACAGATTTGGGAGTATGCTGAAATCATGAAAAAAAGCATGACTAGCTCAAAGTAAATATATTACCACTATCCTAAAAACATGTCGACATGTCTCTCAAAACCATCTTTGTATATGAAAGACAACACAGTGTCTAAACTGGCACAGTATAAAGCTAATAACGGTATTAAGTTACCATAGTGACAATGTTCTTTCTAGAGCGTCTACCTAGAAATCAAATAGCTATTTTTATATTTTCAATAGAGAAGGGGAAATTAGACTATTTCCCGATAATATAATTGGAGAACACACATTGCACACACTTTCTCTTATACACACTCACCTACAACCACGGTGTGAAACTGGTCTCACAGCATACACTGGGAAGCAGTATACTGTTTTCACAGACCATTTAAAACTATGCATTTTATATATGGTGTATAAATTGCCACCATAAATTTCAGACTGATTATGGAAGCAAGGCAGAAACCGAAAGAAGTAATTTATCTTACAGACACATAATTTGGAAAATAGATCTTAAGATTCAGTTAAAAAGGTCTTTTTAAATAAGATACTGAAGAGTAAAAGACTAGGTAGTCATGGTTTTTTCCCTCTAGATTGTCTAAATATATTAGGATATAATTTACAATATACCATACAAAACATATATATAAAATAATATATAATACTGCCTAAATTAGAGAAGGATACAACAACCTTCTAAAATGTGAGAGTTTCAAGTTGGGTTGTATTTAATATGTGGATGGAAGATTTTTTTAAAAAGCATTGAATGAGGAAATATCAGGAATGCCATAATTTCTCAGAAGGATTTAGGCCTGGTTTGGGTCATAGGATTAAAAGATCTTTTTAATCCATGTTTTAAAATTCTGTCTTCCTTTGATTTTTACATATGGTCAGATCTCCCTAGATATAGCTACACAAGGCTTCCAAGCCTCAGATTTCTGTGATGGGTTAGGACAGAATATGAAAGAAGCCAGAAGGAGAGAGAATGCTAAAAGCCAAGAGATGAATGAAGGAACCTAAGAGCCAGGACTGAAATTAAATATTTTAGGACATCTTAACAAGATTTTATTAGGAGGCCAAAATGAGGCACAGAAATCAGCTTGCCAATACTCTCAGACTATTTGCTGCTTGTAATATGCCAGGATACAAGAAAGCAGTATTAGGAGGACCAGACAATTGGACTACTGGGACTAAGCCTATTCCTTGATGTCTGACCTTTTCATTCACACCTTTAATTCCTGGGTTTACTATTTCCTTAGTATGCTAGATTAGGAAGACAGCCTCCAAAAGCAAGTTGGTACCCTCATTTGCCAGGTAAGAGGGCAATTTGCATTTTTTGTGAATTTGGCCTAAATGAAGTGTATAGAACTGTCATTTAAATAAAACTCAAAACTTACCTGGCACAGATTTAATAAATGACAATATGTGTACCAAATATAAAGAACAAGTAGTTCATTTATACAACTGTAATTAGTAGGACCTTTAATACAGGCAAGCCGAGTATTTTGCGGGTTCAACTAAAAAGAAGAAAATGAACTGAACAGGATGGGAAGTTTGTAAGCTTGGTCTAATTGTGCCTGGACTTGCCACTGGAATGCAGGGAACAGAAGGGAGAGAGACCGAGCTGGTGAGCTCCACCTGCCCCTCATCCTCTTTGGTGCTGGGCCTGACACGGAGCCACCCCCAGGCAGTCTAGGGTGTGTGAGGCTGAGAGAAAAGACAAGGTCAAGAGGAAATGATTTCTGTAGCAGAAGGACCCTGGAATCTATTCTACTCTGTCACTGGTGTCTCACCGCACATGGGAATGCCTGATCCAAGAGACAAAGTGTTCAGAGTAACGTCAGTTTCTTTTACCATGAGCTAAAACCCCCTTTTATCTACCCTAAACAGTGTCAGCCATAATCCTCTTGCCACCACTTCCCTCTTCCTCCAAAGACTGAGAGTCATACAACTTTACTAGTGGGGGAGCAAATGATCCAGTTTCTTAGTGGGAGAATGCTGTGATCAGCAACGGTCACAACCACTGGACTGAATATTTTCTCCAGTTCTTTTCTCTTTCAGAAGTCTATGACTCTACATGCAGAAAAGCCCAACCACCTGAGCTGTCCTGAATTACAGAAGCAGGGTGTTGGGAATATCTTCTGCTTCACCTGAGTCGGGGGAAGGATGGGACCTTTGTCATACACACTGCTCTCCTGTCAAGACTGCTCTTATTAGACACTCGACTCAGAGAAAGAGCTGTCTAAACTATGCAACTTAAAAGGAAAGCTCAGCTCCAAATGTGTTCCCATATTGCCAGAAATTCTGGCATTCACTTGAATTTTGAGCTAACAGGCAAAGCACACTGAGGAAAAGCTGTGGCATGAGAGTGATTCTGTGCACTATGTTATGTGAAAAGAATTACTGTGTTAAAGGCCGATTAAGGGAGCACTAAGGGAAAAAATAAGGGATAATTTTGGAGGAGAGGAGGTACTGGTGGTATGTTCCTATGAGGTCACTAGGCCACGGGGAGCAGACAGGGAAGATCAATGATATGGATACCAGAGAACCCCTCATTTCCAGATGCAATTCAAATTCTAGGTCTTCAATGTAATCTACTTCTCTTCTATTTCTACAAGATAGAAATGAGCAAAGAATGACCAGAGGATGTGTTATATGCGCTAGTTAAAGGGTCAGAGTCCACTTACTACAGGGGGCGGTCATGCACAACACCTCACTAGTTTTGGTACAAAGAACAATCAAGATTTATCCTGTCCTATCCTACTCCTAAACAGAAGTTTAGCTCCATACCAAGTAAACCAGATGCGGAACATAAGCACGCCAAGGATCAAATATCATTTTTTCAAAACATCATCATTCTACTCTGGCCTTGAGGATGAAATGAATGGTAACTCTGGGAAGAGTGGTGATAGTCATCAACGATAAACAGAGGTTAACACCATAAAATACGAATATATTATATATATATTAAGAATATATATATATTAAGAATACAATATATACATATATATTTTAAATGGGAGCTCACTGCTGGCCTTCTCCTTGACATGTGAAAATCAAATATGGTGGTCGTGTGGCTGAACAATTCGGGGTGCAGGGAGTGCAGTGACTCAGACTAGTGCGGGGGTTTGGGGACGGAAAGGGAGCCGAAGGCCAAGGAAGCCACACTGGATTCTTAGACAAGGAAGGGAGCAAAAGGGAACACAGGAAGGAGGGGTGAATGGCCCCATTCCAAGTAAGGACACAGTCACCAGTGTTCCCGAGGACTTTCCACATCTTGTTCCTTTAAATTCTCAAATCACTGCTTAGCCAGTACCCTACTATTACTCCCATTCTTCTGAGAAGCAAGCTGGGGTTTACCTAACAGGAAAGGCTGAATGACTTGCTCCCGGTCATACATCCAGAAAGTGGTAAAGGCAGAATTCAAGTCCCCTTATGTGCTTAACCAGTAAGAAGAGAATTCAGGAAGCAAATGAGGGGAAAACATTTTAGGCTTTTTAGGAGCTGGAGCCTGATGCGTAAAGCTTCACCCTGTGTGAACCCAACACCTTTTCACTTTATGAGAGGAGTTCCTTCATGCTGGTTTAAAATTCAGTCCTATAGGCTCAGTGCTAGTGGATGAAGGATAAGAAGGGGTTCTCCCAGAGGACTCTGGAAGCTTCTATGCTACAGCTGGGTGGCGGTGGGGAGAGCAGAGACAAGGCAGGCATGGGACAGCATGTATTCTTGCAAACATTGTGCTGAGCAGAACAAACCTATCTGTCAAAATACACATGACTTCTCGGTTTTACATTCAGAACTTTTTTGTGGGAAGAAAGGGGATGTACAGAGGAGTTTGTTAGGAAAAAAAATGGAAATGGTTTTCTAGGGAAAGGAACAATAAAATATTTTAATCAAATTTTCTTCCCATTCCCTCTCATGTGAATAGTGTTTCTATGGATGTGCTATACTGAATATTTAGTACAGTGAAACATACAGTGGATCATAACATGAAATATTTTTGTACCTCAAGAAAGTTCTCTTTTTATTGCACTGTAGAATTAACTAGAACTGTCTTAAGAATAATGAAATAGTTTCCATTCAGAATGGAAAGTAGTACACTTGGGTATAATATTTCAAAGACAGAAAAAAACCACTTAAAAGTTTTTAAAAATCTAGATCAAGAGCTTTCTTTAGAGGAAAATTATGCGAAATATTTTTCCAAATATAAGAACTATATTTAACACAACACAAAAAATAAGACATATAAAAATTTCTCTGGTTTAAAAACTGTTGCTATGTAGAACATTTGCATTTGAATTCATTTTATTTTCCGGTTTCTAGAGAGATTAAGTGTTCGACATGACAAGGAGAGAAAATGCATACATTTGGTATTTCAGTAAAGAGAATAAACAATATACATTAGGGATTTCTCAATTATCAAATTGATAGAATTAACTTAGAAGAGAAAATGGTAGTGCAGTCAATTTATAGTGCCTGTAGCACAAATATTAACAAAAATCACTTTCCACATTAGAAGAGAAATTCTCTCAGCATTAAAAATGGATTTGTACTCAATCATGTTACAGTAAAAGCAACTGAAAGATTTAATAAAACATGTCACTTTAAAAATTTTACCACCAAAAGTTTACTTCTGACTAACAGATAAATTAAATAGCAAAGTGCCAGAAATGGGAATGTGAAATAGAAATCACCATGAAAAATAAAAATGAGCATTTATATATATATATATATGTATATATATATGTATATGTATATATATAGTGACAATAATCAAGTAAGCATTCCAGTCTTCAGAATTGTTGCAATGAAAGGAAATACAGATTCTCTGATGGCCAAAGCATTTTTTAAAGTACATTTAATTTTCTGATGTTTAATAAACTCTTCATTATATTTCAGGTAAGAAGCAAATTTTGTCTCAAATAAATTACCAGGTGTGATAGTTCTAAAACTGACTGCATTACTAGGCAAAATTCTTCAATTCAATCCACTGATGTCTTTTACTGAAGGGTGCATTGGTTTGAAAATCAAAGACTTACGTCATCCAAAAAATCAATCAGTGAAGATGAGGAAGAAGAAAAGGAATCCTATTTAACGAATACAGCAATAAAAAATAGAAAATATGGATGAAGCAATTTAATAAGAATAATAAATAAAAATTTTGTAAAAACAATTGAAAGGCAAATGACATTAATTCAAATAAATAAATGAGGAAAGCAGTCATTGGCATTGTTTCTCAAAAAACTCAGAAATCCATTAATTACTTTTTAAAGCGTGGTTCTTTTTCTCTTTCCCAAAGGAATGAAATACAATGCATATACTGTGCTCAAAATGTAATAAAATGAAGCGCATGGCAAATCATTAATAATCAAATTAAATGAAGCACTTTAGAAGGGTAACAATTAAAAGTGAGCAGCAGAATCTCTCCACCTCTAGCTGTTCCCACTGGAATGTAACCTCTCTGAGAACAGGACTTGGTGAATGTGGTCACTACTGTTATCTCCAGCAACTAGAACAGTGCTCTGCACAGAGACTTATAATTATTTAATAGAGATAGAATCAGGAACTTAAATTTTCTGAGACAAAAATATACTTTATATCATAAAATTTGTTTTTTTTTACCAGCAAAGAACTTGAGCACCAAAGAATGATAGTCATAGAGTCACTATTTCATTATTATGGAATACATTGCCTAATATCCTCTATGTAATGCTTTTTACAAAAACTATTCCTATTGTAAACTTCTAAAACAACTGAATTGATTTGGAGCTTGAACCAGCATTTCCCTATTATGAGCTTTGACCTTTTTTACTTTTTTTTTTTTATTGTGGCTCTATATTTGGGAGATTAAAGTGTCAAAATTATTTCAGATTTGCTCTGCATTTACTGTTTCTCAGGGGAGGAGACGAAATTTCTTTTAAATCTTATGAGTCTCATATTTAGACCTTTCTTAGATTTTTCTTAAATACAAATGTGATTATAGTTTCCAAAAGAATGCAGAACATACTCTTTTCCTTATATGTTATTGTTTATATAAGATTTTAAGTCCTTTTATGTGGGAAGCAATAAAAGTTTCCTCGAAAATGAATTTTAAATCACAAAGTGAATTCTAAATGGACTACAGGGAATACTTGAAAAGTTTAGTACTTACTTCAAATTGATCCAGAGCATCGGTAGGCGTATTCAAAAATGCCAAGAAAGAATGCTGTGAGTCTTGGTGCTCTATACCTAGAAGACAGCAGCAACTTTTTTTTAAAACTAGAACAATTTAAACTAATTTTCATGGATAACCTTTCCTGTCTGAATCTGCTAAGAGCTGTTCACAAACTACCACATTGTAAAGCTGATCAATATTATTAACTCTACATATTTAAAAAATTATGTTAGTGATTCTTGGAATATCACTTAGCAGTTATAGTAGTCTCCATGACATACTTGTTTCCTGACTTGAGTTCCTGAATTTCTTTCTTTTCCATACAGCACATCGTAAGAAAAACATTAAATCTTTGTAGATTTGAAAGAATTTTAAAAATAGAGTTATATCTGACTTTTCTAAGCTAATTTATCACCAAACAAGGTTTCTGTTTTGAAAAACTCTTACCAAACTTATAGTACACACTAATATAAAAAATCTCTTATAATTATCTAGTGATAAAACAAATATATTTAGTTATGAAAAAACTTTTGTTGGGCAGCCCAGGTGGCTCAGCGGTTTAGCACCACCTTCAGCCCAGGGCCTGATCCTGGAGACCCAGGATCAAGTCCCACGTCAGGCTCCTTGCATGGAGCCTGCTTCTCCCTCTGCCTGTGTCTCTGCCTCTCTCTCCCTCTATCTGTCTCTCATGAATAAATTAAAAAATAAAAATCTTTAAAAAAAAGAAAAAAGAAAAAAACTTTTGTTAAGACCTTAATCTGATTTCAGGCACTGCTTTAATTGACAGAGTAAATAACTTATACCCTAGTTTTTCCTCAGATGAAGTTTTAAAAGTTAAAGCATATTTGTTGGCTATGGTATTAACTTTAAATGTAAGGTTTCCAAAATAATTCTTAAAATGTATATGCAATGATAAATACTAGAAAGGAAAGAGCAGAAAACAACCAAGCACATATTTTCGATTTCTATATCCTTAGGAAGTGACATCAACTATTTTGTGTGGCTTTCATCCTACTCTCTAATAACACACCATGGATGCCAGATGAGGGGCTATGTTCAGAAATTCATCCAGGCAATAAATATTTATTGAGAGTCTATTATATGCCAAACCTTGTCTAGATACCAGGACACATTAGTAAGCATAGCAGAAAAAAATTCTTGCCCTCATTTTTTTTTTAAGATTTATTTATTTATTTATGATAGACATGGGGGCAGGGCAGAGACACAGGAGGAGGGAGAAGCAGGCTCCATGTCGGGAGCCCGACGTGGGACTCGATCCCGGAACTCCAGGATCACGCCCTGGGCCAAAGGCAGGCGCCAAACCGCTGAGCCACCCAGGGATCCCCGCCCTCATTATATATTACATTTTACTATTAAGTAGTATATACAGTACATTACAATATGAAGTGAAATTTCATGACTCTCCAATGTTCAAAATCCAAATAAAAGCTATAAGTTCACATGCTGTCATAAAGCAATGTGATAAACATTTCTTTTGCACATTTAGATATATTCTACAAAGGATGGGGTCAGTCAGTGACATGGTATGTTACAGTCACACTGCACTGATGTCTCTTCTACATAAACTGCCTCTGGAGATGCCTGCCCTCCAAATCTTATACATTCTTCTTCCTTTACTCACTAAATAATGCAGCTTTCCACTCTTCCCATCTGAAAAGTCTGCTTGATTTTCAATTTAATGTGAAATCCTAATTCACCTTCCTTTCTTGTTCACCAGGAAATTCAATCAACAAAAAAAAATTGTTTGAACATCTAGTACTTTCAATGTTTTCTTTTCCCCATGTCAATTCCTTTATGTGATACCCTCTCACATGGAAACAGAAACTCAACCAGCTTTACATCACTGTGTGTTACAGGACTGAGAAATTATGGGGAAGCATCACATCACATAAGTGTAACATAAAGCCATTAATTAGTTCACTATTTGGTCAGGAATACTGATGTTGTCAGGACAGTGAACTCTTTCCTCCGTTCCTCCCTCCTTTTCTCCCTTCTTTCTTCTCTCTCTCTCTCTCCTTAAAGTAGGCTCCATGTCCACAGTGGAGCCCAATGCAGGGCTTGAACTCACGACCCTGAGATCAAGAGGTGGATGCTCAACTGACTGAGCCACCCAGGCACCCAGGACAATGAATTTCTAATAACTGCATAAAAGAGATCCCTTCATTGAGAAAATAACACTCCACATTTTTTTAAATTAAATCTTCACATTCTTAATGCCCACATTATGGAAAGAAAGTTTAAAAGAAGTTTCTGTAATGGCCGCCACATACTCTGAGTTACTTTTCACATTAATGGAAGCATGCTCAGGTAATGCTTTTAAGAAAATGGGAATAAATCCTGAGAAATCCTGCAGGGCAGGAAGTTTAAGAATGAAACTTGGAAGAAAACAATTAAGTACCAAAACAGTTCATCACTGAATTCCCTTTTAAAACAGGATTAGATCAATCTTTAGTTACTTCATACATTATTTCCTCAACTACTCTGGAAGTGAATCCTACAACATTTGAAGAGAGTATAAAGTATACTATAAAAATAAGTTTGTTTTTTTCCCAATCACAAAAATCTTATTTGTGGAATAGTCCATGACATTGAAAAAACAGTCCCAATTTGTGGCAAAATGAATTCTTCTGTTATTATGAAACCTTTAAACAATGCATATTAAGTATGACAAAATGACTCAGAGACCAATCCAGCGAATGTGTGCATCACCTATGTGGATATACATCCAGCAGTGAGTGCCAGCCAGCGTGCTTCGTGTAAACAATTCTCTGACCTACACATGTGGGTTCTCGGGTAATAACATGTATTCACAAAAGAATAAGCCCTGATTGATGCAAAACACATTCTCATACCCTTTTCAGATCTAAGCTCTTCAGTGTCCTTTATCAGTTGTTCGATTTCTGAGAGGAGCTCCAAGTTCTTCTTCTCTGAATCTTTTAGTTTACTTCAATGAGGGAAAAAAAGGAAAACTGTCATTATTTTTTCTGCTGGTTGGTGAGCCATCCTACAATATGTAGCTGGAGTTTCCTGGTTTAAATGTCAGTCATGTCAAATTAGGGAAGTACAAGCTACTGCAGGAAAGACACATCCAGAGGGTCGTCTACTCTTGTGTAAACAAACTACTGCAACACAGCCAAGCTTGTTCATTGACAGATCTGTGGCTGCTTTGCACCACAATAGTGCAGTTGAGTAAACACAGATAAAATGGCCCAAAAAGCCTAAAATATTTAGTATCTGGCCTTTTATAGAAAAAGATGCTGACCCAGAGCTAAATGATTCAATTTTAAAATGTCATAAAATCAAAGGTTAAATTTAGAATTTTGTTAGGCTCTTCCACAGAGAACCATGAAAGTGGAGCATTTTTATGAGTACATCTATAGTTTCCAGTTTCATTTAATCTGGTTTATGAGTGGATGCACAAATGCCTGTGTCCCAGGTACGGGAAGGCTGCTCATACTCATTCCAATTACAACACAGAGAATGACATTCAGTAGATCTTTGTGCCAGAATCGAGTCACATTCTCCAGAAAATGTTCTCTTGCATTTTTAATGTCACAATAGCACTTTTAAGCAAAGCATACTTAAATTTATGTCTGGATTATTTATTACAAGAGTTTATAATTTAACGAGGGTGCCAGGTATATGACCTCCAATTGGATTAAAAACATTAATGATTACAGTTTAAGGACTAAAGCTTCACACCATTACAAACTGAATTTATGTGACTATATTTCTTTTCATGATTGAATGCCTTTGGAACTTTGCTATTCCAGTGCCAAATGATTTTTTTATTTACATGGTAATTTGTAACATGAACTTTCTATTGTTCCTCTATATCACCAAGACTTATTCTTGAAGCATGTTCATATCCAATCCAATTAAGATTTTCATTTTGTCATTTATTTATTCAGAATATAATTTTCTCTACTGTTGTGATGAGGATTGAAGGAATGTATTGATCTGGTAATTGTCTCAGATTGTGGAGGACATACTTTTCTCAAAACATAAAAGAACATGAAAAAGCAACTATAAATAGAATATATTATACCATTATGAAATCTATCATCAAGAGAAACTCCATTTGTAAAAGACCTATGGTAGAGGACAGAATTCCCAGATGACTGTCTTTGTTCTGAATATATATGTTGCATTTTTATACTAATATGATATTCTTGAACATGAGAGAATTTTGGATTTAATGGAACAGAATCTGAGAGTCAACTAAAATTTACAAATAAGGGGAAAAATAAACAGTAAAATATTAATTGCCACTATTAATTTTACTTTATGGACAAATCAGAGGAAAATGAGGTTGTACTAAAATCCCAGCACTGCACACAAGGCCTGAAAGCATTTATTTATTTTCAAATATTCATAATTTTTTTCTGGTCATTACTTAAAAGAAAAGGTGATAGGTATGAACTAAACATGTAACTACTACCCAGATAATTTTGGATCAACTTAGAAATTATTCTAGTAGACTCTATTATTCAACCTTACCATTCTGTGATGATGTTAGATGCTTTAACTTTATTCAGTTCTTCTTGGATGGCCTGTTTAGCTCTTATTTCTGCATCCAGAGCTGACTGCAACTCCAGTCTAGCTGACATATCCAATTTTGCAAAACGACGCATTTTCCAGGGCATATCCTACAAATAATAGAACTGTTGTTAGCTCCATCCAATTTTTTCTTTTTCTTTTTTTTTTTTCAATTTTTTCTTTAACATTCAAAATTTAGTAATGCAAGTAAATTTAGAAACTAATTACAAGTACTCTCTCTAATAAATAAGTAGAACTGAAACTACTTGTGCAAATGTATAATTTTTCATTAAATTCAGAAATAATTACAGACTCACATATGAGTTTATTTTTCATCATTATTACCAATAATGGCTATCTATAGAACTTACAGTTGAACAAAGATGTGTTATGATATCCTAAACTGGCAAAGACTTGGACTAACTGAATTCTCATGAGAAACTTTACAGTTAGCTTAAAGCCTAGACAAACTGATAGAAGTATTCAGACTTATTATCGTGTACTGGAGCTTCCCCACCCAGTAGGATAATTCTCTATGCAAAATGGCAGAGCTTACTGTTGCTCGTGCACCCAAGCTGGAATTCCTCAAAGCTTCCAATTCTTCAGTCATTTTAGAAGCTAAGGCCTGGAGATACCCTCGTGCATCCTTTTCATCACTGACCCTAGAATACATACATAAATAGACAAAGGACAAAAGTAAAATAAACAGGAAAACTGTAGTGAGTTATATATTGTTTTTAAAGCATCACACAAGAAATAAGTGAAATAAATATTTTCTTTCAGAAGATCTACCACAGCACTCCTGCCTATCAACAAATGGGAACAGGTTTACTAAACTCTCTGTTATCTGAATGAAAGCTGGTCACACTTAGGGTCGTTCAAATTACTTATATCTGATAAATTAGTAAAATTGTGCCCTTAAACCAGAGAATTAATACTCTTTTAATCTACATTAAAAACACATATATTTACATAATTTCTAAAAAATATTAAGATTCCCCATTAATTGAGTTCTGCCATTTTGTCTTATGAAAACAAAATGCATCTTTCTTAAAACGCATCTATTCTTAAAAATACTGAAGTACCCTATATTTAGAAAATTTAAAGTAAAAATACTCTGTGAAAATCAAGGTTGTACTGCAATAAAACTCTGTTTTCTAACATGGTCAATAAAATAATCATCAAAAGGAAAAGATTAGAGTCTACTGAAACTCACAACTGTCTTAACACTATCTTACTGATGCAACTGTTATGATTCTAGATAGAAATGTTTTCAAATTATATTCAATAACACACATTCTACATTTAAGAGTTTATCAAAAGAAAGTTTGTGTTTTGTTACATCTTCAAAATAAGGTCAAGAGTAGGATAAGGCCTGCCAGCATATGAAAATCTACAAAAGAAGGTCTATCCTCAAGAAGAATGAAAACAACTGATATATAGAAAGCTAAGTGTATATATTTATATATATATGTATGTGTGTGTGTGTATAAAAGAGTACAAATCTGCAGTGCTTAGAAGTGTGTTCTAATGCACCCTGGGGAACACTGTTTGCCTTTGGGAAGGCTGGCTGTTTTAATAAATACAATTCAGGCCACTGAATAGTGATGAGGAAAGGATATTTCAGGTAAACTAGTTAAGTATCTGATGCAGAGAACAGACAGATTGAAATCTCGAATTGGCTTTAAGATCTTCTAGAACTTATAATCCGGAAGAGCCAAAATCACATCTATCAATGCGTCTATCTTAAAGAGGCCCTTTAGGAGGGATTTGGTTTTCTTTTCTCTCAGCTGGGAAGGTGTACTGAGGACAAGGGGAAGAATCTAACAATTTAAAAGTGATACAATCATCATAAAAAGTTGCCCAGCCTAATTAGTTACATATTTTTAGGCTCTACATACATGTATGTATCTTTATTGCCTTTTATAAAATGTTGTTTATGTAAGTGGGAGGCTGTTTCTTCTAAAATTCTTTAACTTTGGACACCACACATGACTACAACAACCTTCTGATGTAATTCTCTGATCTACAATATAAAGAATAAGTAGAGATGAAGGAAGATTATCTTTTTTTAGAGTAGCAGAAAGACACTTAAGAAAACTGTATTATCATTTACAGGACCAGGTTAATTGGCCTGTTGCAACCCGTACTGCTTTACTGTCTACCACAGCGATCTCTGCTTATGCACATTCCAGGAACCTAGTAAGTCCCATTTGCTTTATTAACTCTGGAAATCAGTAACTTCTTGTACATGTGTTTCATGTTGTTTAACATTTCAAGTAAAAAACTCTCTTGTAATTTTGTTTTTATTTGCATGTTGAGTATGTTCACATTCCCTGACTCATGTGGTTTCCCTCTAAGTCTCAATTTTTTATTAAAGCTAAGTCTATTTTCTTGGCTACAGAAAATTAATGAAGGGAAGGGTTAAAAAAAAAAAAAAAAAACCAAAACACTCGGTCAGTTACAAAGTCTAAGTTCTACTGAGCCCTGGTCTCCTACACTTCCTTTTCAGAATCATTGCTATTTGTTTCCAACCTTCAGCCTACTTCCCCTCAGCTCAACACCATCTTGACCTTCCTTCTACTAGGCTATCTGGATAAGATGACTCATGCTCATTCTCTTAGCTTTTTTTTTTTTAAGTTTTAGAGGAAGTCCCTCATCTTCTCTTTAGCCAAGTCATTTAAATGTATTCCTCGTCCCACATTTACCTTCTCTGAAAACTGCTTCTGTTTTCAATTTCATCATTTTTTTTGGCTGCTGTAAACATATACGGACTTTTTCTAATCCAGAAAGTTTCCTGTCCCTGTCATTGTGATACAACCTGTATCTAATTATGCTTGTATTTAACTCCTCACTAACTCATAATACTTTCTGAAGTCTGATTTACACAACTGTTTTGCTGAAACCATAGTTTATTCAAGTAACTACTCAACTACAAAAGGCCAATTTTGATCGATTTTGTTCTGCCATAGCTAGTCCTCTCCTCCCAATCTCTTTCAAATAATTAATGCAGAAATACTTATTACTTCTGACTATTATGTGGGGCATCCTTAGGAAAGAGAAGATTTAGAAGATAACAGTTCTTAAAACGTCAAGGACATAAAATATACATAGTAGCGTCACTTAAGGACTTGATTCTTGAGTCAAACAGACCTTGGTTCAAATCCTAACTCACTGCTCATCAGCTCCAGGACTTGGGCTAAGTCATTTAACCCTTCTTGCTCTCTGCTATCTCACCTACAAAATGGAGATAATAATTCTACCTTATAGGACTGCTGTGTTAAAAAGAATCCTGTACAAGTAGATTTTCAGCCCAATGCCTGGAATGTACTGTAATCAGTATAACCTATGACTATCCACAAATGAAGATTAATGAAGATTATTTGAGGAATAGTTCGAATAATAAGAGGGAATTTAAATAAAGGGAAATAAAAGCGTTATTATTGAGACCCTTTGCTGATTGTGAAAACACTTTCCTGCTGCCCTCACTAAATTATCCTTTCTTCTGTGCTCTTTAAAAAGAACTCAACAACTTCAATGGCTTTACTGACTAGGACTTAAATCCCCAAATTTACATGCTCTACCCTAACCTTTCTGTACCCTTTTCAAAAGTGTACTGGAACTCTGTACCCAGATGTCTCAGGATGAGTTCAGACATACCAGTAAGCAAAATAACACAAACAAAATCGATTATATCTTCCCCAAAGTTGGTTCCTTCTGACTTTCCTACTTATATGATATCATTTTCTTAATCTAATTCAGAAATACTAATTCTCCCTCAATTCTTGCCCTTCCTTCATAATTAAGTCTATAGATTCTTCTCTTACAACATCTTCTCCACCATTTGTTCAGTTTTCCCCAAATTTCCCTCCATTTCACCCTGAGCACCATTGTAAAGAACTGTTTTCCTTTTTTTCTTTTTTTTTTAAGATTTTATTTATTTATTCACGAGAGACACAGAGGCAGAGACGCAGGCAGAGAGAGAAGCAGGATCCTCACAGGGAGCCCGATGTGGGATTCGATCCCTGGACTGGGATCATGCCCTGAGCCAAAGGCTCAACCACTGAGCCACCCAGGCATCCCAAGAATTGTTTTCCTAATGCATCATCTAATTAATACCTTTATCCTTGCAAAAACCCTCTCTTTCTTATACATAAATAAAGCTAAAATTCTTACCCAATATTCATGTACCTTCACTAGTCTTATTTCCTATTGTTTTATATGAAATCTCCAATTCACTCAATGTACATATAGGACCCTTTACTAACCTCAGGGTTTTCAGAAAATGCATTACAGGTTCAAATGATTACCCCCCATTCTCTCAAGCACCCAGTCTAAGGTAACTCTATAATACTATAGGAAAATCAGTATTGTATAATGCATAAGGCAACTTAAAGTCTTCTAACTGATCTCCAGATATGGTCACATTAGTTTTTAAACTTTTCAGTGGTATGTTATAAGCTACTTGGAGGCAAAATTATATTTTATAGGCCACTGTACCTTCTATTATCCCAGAAAAGTGCATTATATGTGAGGAGATGCATTTAAAAAAATCAGTCTCTGGACTAGCTTATGAGTCTGACCTTTCTTTGTCATCTCATTTCAAAGAAAAAGTGAAGTATTCTGATGAGCCAATGGTGAGAAGAAAGGCCCCTACTCTAACACAGTGAGGAGCAACAAGGTCTCACTTCCCTAAAAGTTATTCTTTCATATGAAAGGGATACTTCATAGGAAAAGGCAAAGGGGGCCAAGTAAGATGTTAGAAATGCATCCAAATGAGGTCTTATATACAATAGTGCTTGTTCTGTTTTAAAGCTGTTTTTTGTCCAATGGAAACATTTAAAATACTGTATATCACAAGTTCCTAAAACCTTGTCTTGGCATCATTTCATTTTTTAAAGTTTTAACTTAAATTTCAGTTCATAAACATACAGTGTAATATTAGTTTCAGGTGTGCAATATAGTAATTCAACACTTGCATATGACACTCTGCTCATCCAGGTAAGTGCAGTCCATAATCCCTATCACTTATTTCACCCATCCCCCCTCCCACCTTCCCTTTGGGTAACCAGCAGTATGTTCTCTATAGGTAAGAGTCTGTTTATGGATTTGTCTCTTTTCCCTTAGCTTGTTTTGTTTCTTAAATTCCACATATGAGTGAAATCATATGGTATAGGTCTCTCTCTTACTGACTTATTTTGCTTAGCATAATACACTCTAGCTCCATCCATACTGTTGCAAACGGCAAGATCTCATTCTATCTTATGGCTGTGTAATATTCCTCTGTGTGTGTGTATACACAGATACTTGGGCTGTTTCCAAAATTTGGCTATTACAGATAATGCTGCTATAAACATAGAGGTGCATGTATCCCTCTGAATTAGTATTTTTATACCCTTTAGGTAAATACCTAGTAGTGTGATTGCTGGGTCACAAGATGGTTTTATTTTTAACTTTTTGAGGGACCTCAATATTGTTTTCCACAGTTGCTGGGCCTGTTTGCATTCCCATCAGTAGTCCATAAGGGTTGCTTTCTTTTCCACATACTTGCCAATTTGTTGCTTCCTGTGTTTTTGATTTTAGCCGTTCTGACAGGTGTGAAGTGGTATCTCATTATAGCTTTGATTTGTATTTCCTTGATGATCAGTGATGTTGAGCATCTTTTCATATCCTGTGGTGCTCCGGGTGCTCTTCCTTCAGGACAGTCACCTGCAGAGGCTGTCCTTTCCTGCTATGGGCAGTGTTTGATCTCTGGCCTGAATGTGGTAAGTTTTCATGGGGTTGGGTGGTTTGCTTTGGTCTGCTTGTGAAATGAAACCAGTCACCATATCCACTGGAACTGAGGCACTGCAGAACTCTCTGGTCAGGAGATGTGGTATGGACAAGGGTTTGTGCTAGTCTTTAGGGGGGAGGGACCACCACACTACAGCTAAGCTAAGTGTGACTAGAAAGAATGGTTCCATTAGAGCACCTAGGGGTGGGGCTTGGTGGAACCAAGTTAGGCAGCCAGTATTTTCCCACAGGTGGCTCTGTGTTTATGCTGAGGGACAGGGGTGGGACATAGTGCTGGCCAGCTCCTTTTATTCTCAAGAGAGGCCTCTCCATGAATGCTGTCTCTCTGCACTGCACTACAAGAAGAGAAAAAACTGGTGTCTGTCCACCCCGCTCCCCCCAACCCCAACCCCAGGCTGTTTGCCTGCCTTCTTTCCAAGAGAAGTGCAGTACCCTCTAGGCTCTATCCAGCCAAGCCTGCTGACCTTTAAAACTCCAGTCTTCAAACCCTGTTGGCTCCAAGAACTCACGAAATTTAGCCCCTCTTATTTTCCAAGCCAGCAGCCAGGGTTTGTTTCTTTCCTAAACTACATCTCCACACTTCTTACCTTTTTCAATGTGGCCTCTTCTCTGTCTTTAATTGTGGCGTTTGTTTTGTCAGTCTTCAGTGTGATTTCTGGGGTATTTATTATAATTTGACAGTTATCTAGTTGTATTCATGGGATGAGGTAAGCCTAGGGCCCTCCTACTCCACCATCATCTTCCTGTCTCTGGCATCACTTCATTTTTTAATATACTAAGACTAAAAAACTGGGAATACCCTGAGACTCTTGACCTTCTTTTTTTTTTCTTTTTATTAATTTTTTCATGAGAGAGAGAGAGAGAGAGAGAGAGAGACATAAGCAGAGGAAGCAGCAGGCTCCCTGTGGGGTGCCTGATGTGGGACTCTAATCATAGGACCCTAGGATCATGCCCTGAGCCGAAGGCAGACACTCAACCACTGAATCAACCAGGTGTCCTGACTCTTGACCTTTTTAAGCATGGACAGAACGTCTCAGATTTAACATTCCAGTAGGTGAGAACTCTGAGAACAATACCCTATCAAGTATTTAATAATTAGTTATGTAATATATTAGCCCATTTCTTTTTGGCCCCCCCCCCCAGAATTATCTAGTTATTTATTTAGAGAGAGCATGAGCAAGGGGAGAGGCAGAAGGAAAGGGAGAAAATCTCAAGCAGACTCCGTGCTGAGTATGTAGAGCCCAACATCAGGCTGAATCTCATGACATGAGACCATGACCTGAGCCAAAACCAAGAGTTGGATGCTTAACTGACTGAGACATCCAGGTGCCCTAATATATTAGCCCATTTCTAAATAACAACTTTTTGCAAACTGACTTGCTTACATTCCTGGTTTCTTCTGCACATTTCACTTGAATGTGAAAAGCCTAAAATGAGTGTTTTGTAGTATCATGTAAAAACTTTCACCTTGGGATGCCTGGGTGGTTCAGATGGTTAAGTGTCTGCCTTCAGCTCAGGTTATGATCTCTAGGTCCTGGGATTGAGCCTCTAGGGCTCAGGGGGGAGCCTACTTCTCCCTCTACCTCTCCCCCTGGCTCCTGCTCTCTGTCTCAATTGAATAAATAAAATCTTTAAAAAAACAAAACAGGGACACCCAGGTGGCTTAGCGGTTTAGCACCTGCATTCAGCCCAGGGTGTGATCCTGGAGTCCCGGGATCAAGTCCCATGTTGGGCTCCCTGCATGGAGCCTGCTTCTCTCTCTCTGCCTGTGTCTCTGCCTCTCTGTGTCTCTCATGAATAAATAAAATTAAAAAAAAAAAACCTTTCATCTTCATCCTTTCTACTAACCCTTTCCAGAAAGTCTACATTAAAAGCTTCTTTCTTTTACTAGAACCACTTCCCATTCCATCTGAACCCATCATGCCTGTTGCTGGAAAAAAATCAATGGTCTAGGAACTCAGGCTCTGGCCACATCATCTTTTTCTTCTGTAAAAAGTCATTTTCAGCAATAGCTTAATTATATATTTGATTACATAATAATGGAGCTATAAATGAAGAGTTATAATTTTTGATATTATAATCTTGGATAAAGATTAGAATGATTTTGCTTCAGAAATGAGCAAATGTCCTTGTCATCAAGGACATAAATTTAACATTAATGAACTATTACCTGTATTATAGTGTTTGGAACATAACCAAATTTCCACAATTTGGGTATTTTCATTTAGATATGCACTGTATAGTCACATTCATGAGCCACAGATGACTGAACACAGGAGTTCTATAGTTAAGTCTATATCAAAATACTTGAGTTATTTGGGTAAGATCACTTAAAAGGCAGTGTTTATCCACCTCTGATTTTATTTAAGATGGAGGGTATTACTTTGCAATAAGTAGGAAAATAGAAAAATTGCTTAAGGAACCAAAGTAAGAGTACAAGAAACTAAAATTCCTACTAAATGCTTGGTCTATAGATACACAAAGAAACAGTTTTCATATAACTTAAACCTCCATGATGTGCCAAAAAGAATAAAAAAGTTGAAAAGTAAATATTAAAATTCAGAAAATATCTTTTCCTTAGAAGATAAAGTCCCTGCTGAATTCAACTTTCTTCATGTTTTATAAAAATATGCATTTTTATAAATGCCAGAATCATTTCATGAAATAGTTAATGTGGAAAGTTATGGAAGTAATTCATTCTATACTGAATCCTGAGACCTTAAAGAATAGTTAATAAAATGAAACTATAATCATTTAAGGTTTTTATGATGACATGTATACAACAATCTGCTGTAATTATGAAAGAAGATGATAGGACAACATTTTCAGGTTCAAAATTCTTCTCCAGACTGTTTCTTAAAATAATTACAAATATAGCAATTTTGGTCTTAGACAGGAACTTCTATTGCTAGTCAATGAGTTCCTTCAGTTCTTTAAGAACCAACAGTCTTAAAATAACAGCTTTCAATTAAATTGTGGAGAGTTGACATGGGATACTTGCTGCAGTTGGGGAAAAGAGAAACTTAAAAGAAAATATAGAAGGATGCAGATGAGTAACAACAGGTCAATAATAAAATTATGCTTTTCAGGGAAACATTTTTTAAAGCAAAAAAATAAGAAAAAATGTCATGTTAATAGTCTTCTGGAATTCATGCCAATCTGGCCATATGTCCAAAATCACTCATAAAAACACATTTAAAAAGAGTACTCACCACTGAATTATTTCTGTGATTTGGGCTTCCCAATGTGCAACTGATTCTTTCTTGTCTGCTAGGTCTTTCACCTCTTCTTCTAACTGCTGGTTGCGCATACTTATATTTTCATACAAAGTGGTGAGCTGAAAAGCAGTTTTAAAGACACATGTGACTTTTAGGAACAGGAATACAAGGTATGCAAATACCTCTTGTTAAATCTGATAGCTCTCCATATTCCACTAAAAAAATGCTTGCTTCCTGATTTCATATTATATGAAATCTAGTCACTGCATTTGGAAACATCAAATATTCTGAATTCTCCTCTGCCCTTGCTTTTCCTTTACCCCCTACACCGAATTCCTTCCATTTATGAACACTCTTCAGTTGTCTGAAAATTTCCCATGTTCTACTGGTAACAACATCTTTTTTTTTTTTCTTGGTCTGTAAATGTCTCCATGTCATCCTCTTTTTAAAAAAATCTTACAAAGAATTTCAAGCATATACAAAAGTGGACAGTATAAATTAATTCCCATGAGCCCACAGCCAATGTCAATGTTGAATTATCACCTCAATGACAGTCATTTCACTTGCATTCTGTCTTCTTACCCCTTCCTCCTGAATTATTCTGAAGTGAACACCAGACATCTATAACTTTACCTATATGTATTTCTGTGTATGTGTCTAGCAAATAAGGCTCTTTCAAAATATAACAATATAATCACACTTAAAGAAATTTAATGAGTTTCCTTATATCATCACAAAGGTAGTAATTGATCAAATTCCCAGTTATCTCAGAACATCAAAAAGCTAAACAGTTTACAAAATTGAATCATGATATCCACAAGAAACCACAGCTTAATGGTTCCTGTATCTTTTAAGTCTCTTTTATTTTTAAGCTCTTAGTCCATTTGGGTCCCTATACTAGAATATCAGAGATTGGACACAAAACATTTATTTCTCACAGGCTGGAGGCTAGAGTCCAAGATTGAGGTGCCAGCACATTCAGTGTCTAGTGAAGTCAGCTCCTGGTTCACCGATGGCTCTTTTCTGGCTGCGTCCTCACAAGGTGGAAGGCATGAGGGGGCTCTTCAGGGTCATTTTCATAAGGATAATACTCCCACCATGAAGGCTCCACCTCACGACCTAATCACTTCCTAAAGGCAGCACCTCCTTACACAATCACATTGGGGGCGAGGTTTCAACACGTGAATTTTGAAGGGACACAAACATTCTGTCCATAGCAATTCTGCTCCAGCACTTTTTTCTTATACTTTATTTGTTGAAGAAAATAGACTGTCCTGTAGTCTGCTATAGTCTCAATTTCTGCTTTCATTTTTGAAAGACTTTTTTTTTTAATGATAGTCACACACACACACACACACACACACACACACACACACACACACAGGCAGAGACACAGGCAGAGGGAGAAGCAGGCTCCATGCACCGGGAGCCCGACGTGGGACTCGATCCCAGGTCTCCAGGATCACGCCCTGGGCCAAACGCAGGCGCTAAACAGCTGCACCACCCAGGGATCCCTGAAAGACATTTTTTGCCATATATAACACTCCAGGTTGGCAATTATTATCCTTCAGCACTTTGAAAATGTCATTCCTTTTTATTCCCTATTTTGATTCCTTTATGGATTTCTTTTCTTTTTTTTTTTTTTTCTGGTGGGAAGTCAACTTTCAGTTTAACTTTTGCTCATTTGAATATAATGTGACTTTCTTCTCTAGCTGCTTTTAGGATTTTCTTTGGCTGCTGGTTTTTAGCAGTTTTTCTATGATGCCTCTAAGAAAGGATTTAATTTCTATTTATCACCTTTCTTGAATTTGGCATTTCTTGAATTTGTACCTAAATGCTTCTCATAGGTTTTGGAAAATTATGGGCCATTAATTCTTCAAATACTGCTTCTGCCACAGTCTTTCTGTCCTTTCCATCTGGGAGAACAAATATTTGTACATCAGATCTTTTTGTCACTTTGGTAGTAATTTGTCACACCCTTGGTCTTTGCCCTCTTTTAAGTATTTCCATCCTTTTTAATCTCTACCCATACTTTAGTTTGAAATTTTTTTACTTGTTCACTCTTTACTTCAGCTATTTTCAATCTGCTGTTAAAATCTTCCATTGAGTATTTTGGCTATTTTAGATTTTACTTCTACAAGTTCCATTTGACTCTTTTGCATATATTCTAGTTATATGCTGAAATTCTTCATGTCTTCCATTTACAATCATACAGTTATTTTAAAATTTAATATATGGAAATTCTGATGGGAATCCTTGTGGGCTTGCTTATACAGACTGCCTAGCTTTCTTTCATTTTTCTTTCTTTTGTTTTTGCTATTATATTTTTACTCTTGGTTTTCACTGATTTAGTTTTACCTCCTGGTATGCATGGTAATTGTTTAATGTATACCACACATTTGTATAAAAATTTTAGAGGTAATCTGAGGCTCTGTAGAGTATCTTCCTCCAGGAAGTATTTACCTTTACTTCTGGCAGGCATTTGGACTCAAGAGAGGTCAGGTACTGAGTTACTTGGAGGCTATGTATCAGTCAGTGAGAGGTTTCATCTCTTTCTGGTTCACTCTTATTCCTAAAATGTAGTAGCCTTTCAATGAGTCCAACTGAGAGCTTGTATTCATCTCTCTAAACCTGTGAGACTGTGGAATACTGTGCTCAGCTTCCTGGATACTCAGCTACTGCTTTCATATCAGCAAGTGTCTCAGGAAGAAAAGCAACACTGAATGCAGAGCTCATCTCTTTGCACTCCTCTATAGGATCTTGGTCAGTGATGATGGCTGCCTTTTTATCTCTCCAATGCTTTCCTGCATATAAATGCTGTAGGAAATAGTCTTAGCATATTAAGATAGTTTTTACAAAAATCTAGCTCTTGGTGAGGTGGTGGGTATGATGTAAGCTAATCTGTCACAGAAGCAAAAGTTTCCGCTTTAGTAAGTTTTAAAAAACTAATAAAATATTTGCATTCAGTTTTTATCTCACGATTATGGTTTTTCTGATAAATGGTTTTTCTGATAAAAGTTTTTTAAAACTTATAAAATATTTGCATTCAATTTTTATCTCACGGTTATGGTTTTTCTCACAGTTAATCTGCATTAGTTATTGCTAATCCTTTCTTGATTTTTGGGATGTTTTTAGAGATACTGTGTTCATTTCTTTTTGAGTACTCAACCTGAAGGAGGTGATTTTTTCCTAGAAGAGCTATTTACAGGTTTGTGGGGATGAGGGGTCAGGTGATGGTTAATTTTCGGTGTTAACCTGACTAGGCCTCAGGCTGCTAACACATCTGACCAAACATTCCTGAGTGAAGGTGTCTTTGGATAAGATCAACATCTGAATCAGGAGACTGAGTAAAGCAGATTGCCCTCCCTAAGACAGTGGGCCCATCCAATCATCTAAAGGCCTATAGAACAAAAAGGCTGACCCTAGTAAGATGAATAGTAGGGAGCTTCTCTTCCCTAAATGAATGTCCCTTCAAGCTGGAACATTGGTTTTTCCTGCTTTGGGACTGTTATTGAAACAGCAGCTCTTCCTGGGTCTAAAGTCCTCTGGATTTGGACTAAGACCATATAGGCTGTCCTGGGTCTCCAGACTGCAAACTATTGATCTTAGGACATGTAGCCTCCATCATCAGGTGAGCAAATTCCTTACAAAAAATGTCTTTATATATATGTGTGTGTGAGTTTGTATGTGTGGGTGTATGTATACATGCATATGTGTCTATGTTTGGTTCAGTTTCTAATACAGGCCAAAATCATGTTCTACGTGAGGGGTCTGCAAACTTTCCAATGAAGAATTAGATGTACATAGTTTTGGCTTTGTGGGCCATGCATGATCTCTATCACATCTTGTCCTTCTTAGAAAAACTGGCTTAAAAGTGTAAAAATTCTTCTTAGTTCGTGGGGCATAAAGAAACAGTCTGAGAGCTGGATCTGGCTAAAGGTCATCGTGTGTCAACTTCTCCATCAAAACAGATGGAGGAATCTTCCTCATGAGCCAGGGTTTTCTCATGTATTTTTGGCCTGTACTTCTGTGAGAGATAGACAGTCTTGGCACAGTCCCAATGCAGTTTTATTTCTTCCCCTCTACCAAAGGAGCACAGCTGTAATTCTGTTTAGCTTTATCTCCAACCTCACTGTCTTCCCAGAAGGCAATGGGGTCCAGAGAAGCTATCACTGCCAACATACACCCTTATCTGCTTATTGAGAATACGGGATTTAAGTTCTATATCTCAAGGTACGCCATATACCTCTGAAATAGGACTTTACCAGCTGTTTTCTTTTTATAGATTTCCTGAGGTATAATTTATATAGAATAAAATTCATCCATTACAAGTGTATGATTCAATGATTTTTAATAAATTTAAACAGCTGTACAACAATCACCACAATCTGGTTTTGGTACACTTCCAATAGGAGAAATTTTTCCACTGCTGGTTTGCAGTCAATTCTGGCTCCCAACCTGAGTTCAGGCATTGCTGATTTGCTTTCTATTTCTATAGTTTTGCTTTTCTAAGAAATTTAATACCAATGAAGTCACAACATGTAGTTTTTTTCTTTCCCTCATCACACTATTGAGGCTCAATCACAGTATTGCATCAATCAGAAATTCACTCTTTTTTACAGCTGAGTAATATTCTATTCTATGGATAATAGTAAACCTTAGTTGCTCATTCACTAGCTAATGGGCATTGGTATTGTTTCCAGTTCTTTGCTCTTGTGAATAATGATGCTATGAACATTCATATAACAAGTCTTTAAAAGGACTAGGTTTTCAGTTCTCTTACATAAATATCTGTAAGAATTTCTGGGTCATGTGGTAAATGTATGCTTAACTTTTTGAGAGCTTTTGAAACTATTTTCTAAAGTGGCTATACCACCACCTGACACTCCCACAAGTAGTATAGGAGTTCCTATACTACTTCTGATTCCTCCACATCCTTGCCGATAGTTGGTATGGTCACTCTTATTGATTCTACTCATTCTTGAGAGTATACAGCAATATATGGCTTTAACTCTCATTTTTCTAACGATACTGAACATCTTTTCACATGTTGGTCATTCACAGATCTTTCATGAAGTAACTACTCAAATTTCTCCTTATTTTTTCACTGAGTTGTTTGCATTTCTTATAGTTGAGTTTTAAGTTCTTTCTATATTTTAAGTATGTTTCTTATCAGGTCAATAATTTGCAAATGTTTCTCCTTCATCTGTGTATATCTTTTAGTTTTTTTAATGTTATCTTTAAACTGTGATGAAGTACAGTTTATCGTTATGTTTCTCTCACGGGTTGTATAATTTCTATCTATGAATCTTTAACCCTAAATCATGAAGATTTTTCTCCTATGCTTATCTCTCAGGTTTCATTTTATGATCCACTGAGTTAATGTTCTTATATGGCATAAAAATTTAAGATAACTTTTTTACACATGGATATCCAAATGTTCCAGCACCATTTGTTAAAAAGATTATCTTTTTTCCAGTGAACTGCCTTGGCACTTCTTCTTCTTCTTCTTTTTTTTAATTTATTTGTTCATGAGAGACAGAGAGAGGCAGAGACATAGGCAGAGGGAGAAGCAGGCTTCCTGCAGGGAGCCCGACGTGGGACTCGATCCCCATCCCAGGACCCTGGGATCACGACCTGAGCCAAAGGCAGATGCTCAACCACTGGGCCACCCAGATGCCCCTGCCTTGGGATTTCTGCTGAAAAATCAACTGGCCATTAATATGAGGGCTTATTTTTAGATCATTACTCTATGGTTCCATGATGCCAATACTACTAGTAAGTTTCAAAATACTGTCAGGTAAATCCTCTAATTTTTGTTGCACAAGGCTATTATATAGGTCTTTTGTATCCCCAAATAAATTTAAGGATAAACTTCTCTATTCCAACAAAAAGCCTACCAGGATTTTGACAGGGATTTCCCTGAGTTTATACACTATAGGAGAATTAAGCTCCTATAACAATTTCTACTCTTTTGACCCATTAACAGGGTACATCTCTCTCTGTTTAGATATTCCTTCATTTATCTCAGCAATGTTTTGTAGTGCTCTTCCTCTGGTTAATCCCCAGAGCTCCCAAATAGTTGTTTTTGACAACCGTGTCCACTTTGAAGTGTTCTTTTCTAGAGAAGATTCATTAATCTCTTCATTTTAGCATAAACAGAAGTCTACCAATTTTTTTGTAGATGCAATATCTTTGCTAATTCCTACAACACATTATTTTTTATTATCTTTTGACAGTCCTTTTTGACAGCCCTTCTAACTAATTAGTGAGAGAGATCAGCTAGACATTTTCAGGAAGGAGAGGAAATGCAGATTTTGCATAGCCATGTTACAACAGTTAGAAATAGTTTTAAGTAGATTTGTTTGGTGTTAGTCAAAGAAATGCTAATCTTTTCATTATTATTGAAAAAGAGCATGGACTCTGGAGCCAGACTGCCTGTGGTCAAATTCTATCTGGCAACTTCCTGGTTCTCTGATTAGGAAAGGAGCCTCATCCTCCTCTGCCTTGGTCTCCTCACCTATATAATGGCTAGAGTAACAGGGTAAACCTCACAGAGTTTTTGTGAGGATTAAATGATTTACACAAAGTAACTCAAAAGAGGACTTGGACTTAACAAATTCTACCTAAGTATTAGTTCATTTTGCTTGTTTGGGAATGAGACAGTTTCACTATTTGTAACTTGACATATCTGGCTTATAGTAATGAATAGTACAGTATAATATAGAATATGGAAACATGCTCATGACATTTTAAATGAAAGGCATATTAGAAAATAGAATGCAAGTATAACTGCACCTATGTAATAATATATATACAAACAAAACCTGGAAAGGAACATATAAAACTAAATAATAGTTGTTTTGTAAAAAAAAAAAAAAAAAAAAAAGTTGTTTTGTAGTGATGAGATCATGGGTAGCTTTTATTTATTTTTATAATTTTGCTTTTTTGTAAGATAATAACTTAAGAACAAGAAACAATACTTCTCCTTACTAGAAACCATTTCCTTTTACTCCCTAACATATATGGTAATATATGTTTGCAAAAAAATTATCTTTTAAAAAAAGTAAAACTTAACAGGGACACCTGGGTGGATCAGTTGGTTTAGCATTAGATTCTTGATTTCGGCTCAGATCATGATCTCAGGGTCATGAGATTGAGCCCTCCTCCCCAATCATTTTGGGCTCCGAGCTGGGTGTGGAACCTGTTTAAGATTCTCTGTCTTCCTCTCCTTCTGCCCCTTGCTCTCCTCATACCCCACTTGTATATGCTCTTTCTCTCTTTCTTAAAAGAAAAACTGAAACTTAACAGACTTCTAAAAAATATTAACAAACTTTTTTCCAATTTCTTTTTTGGAAAGGAAGCCCAAGGTGGGGCTTGATCTCACAACCCTGAGATCATAACCTGAATTAAAATCAAGAGTCTTACACTTAACTGACTGGGCCATCCAGGTACCCCTTTTCAATTTCCTTTTAAATTTAAATTTTTGGAGTTTAAAAATGTGAATGTGATAACCTATTCATAATATTAACATAAGTTTCAAAATAAATGTAATAGTTACTTTCTGGCTTCTATACCAGAAGTTCTGGTGAGAAGAAATTCTGCTTTGAATCTTCACTCAGGTTCCAGACAGAAGAGCTGGTATAGCAATGTTACGTAAAAGTATTCTTTGGTTATCCCTCTTGGTGAAAACACACAGTTCAAACCAAACCAGAAAATGAATGAACAAAAAGAAACAGTAAAGATGCTCAGTTAAGGTAAACTGGGAGTGAAGCAGAAAGAGAAACAAAGGCTGAATAAAAAGAACAGAAACAGGGAAGAGGCTTAAAAGGCTGCAGCAGAACCCAGATCAGTCTCTATTTCTCCAGGAATAAATATTTCCTTGTTATCATATGTCATTAAATACTTGCCCACCATATAAATTTGCTTTCAAAGTTCTGCTCATTCTTCATCATACGTTCTAATTTAGTTAAAAAAAAAAAAGGTAATGTTCTATTTATTTTTAAAAACTTAAGAGACAGGCTTTTATTTTTACCCTTCACGTCTCATCAGAATCAAGACAGTATTGCTTATAAATTATCTCTAAACATGTATTTCTGGCAAACTGGGCAGAACTTTATGGTTACTAACAAAAAAAAAACCCAAAGGGTGAATACAAGATTTGATCTACATTCATGTTGATTATTATTTAATTCAATTTTTCTTGAACTACATGTATTTTTCTTATTTATTTATTTTTAAAGATTTTATTTATTCAAAAGAGACATACAGAGAGGCAGAGACATAGGCAGAGGGAGACGCAGGCTCCCCATGGGGAGCCTGATGAGGGAATTGATCCTGGGACCCCAGGATCATGACTTGAGCCAAAGGCAGACCAATCACTCAACCACTGGGCCCCCCAGGAGCCCCACTATATACATTTTTTACTAGGTAATTTGTTTAGAAACTACATGCAGAGGCTTTCTAGAGTTTAATTACATTTCTTACACCTCAAAGTAACTCCTTACAGAATCTTAAATTCTGTCTAATTGACAGAAATAATTCATGCATTATCTTTTAAAAGATTTTATTTATTTATTCATGAGCGACACAGAGAGGCAGAGACACAGCAGAGAGAGAAGCAGGCTCCATGCAGGGAGCCCGATGTGGGACCTGATCCTGGGTCTCCAGGATCACACCCTGGGCCAAAGGTGGTGTTAACCACTGAGCCACCCAGGCTGCCCAACACAAATAATATTTAATTTTATAGTCATATTAGTTAAACACATGAAATCACAATTATGTGACCCATTTGGATAAAATTCAAATATTGTTAATTTTCTTTTAGCGGAAATAACTAAAAGTTACATGATAACCATCACAAATTCTTCATACTTAAAGCACTCATGCTACTTATTCTCTTTGGCCACATCCCACAGTGGCTGGGTAAATCAGCTTCATAAGATTTTACAAAATAGAAAATGGAGTGGTTTCTCAAATAGTTTTCAAGCAAAAAAGCAAAGTCATTATTAAATGTGTAAAGAACCAATTAGTCATGGGAAAGTAGTGAAAGATGCATGGAATATAGGGGAAAACTGAGAGAGAATAAAGAGTCTCTCTTTTATGACTACTTAGTCATGGTCTTTCAATCTGTTATTGGAATAACTAATAACTGAACAAAATATTTTTGCTGAGGGAAAATCCTAGAAATCATTATAAAACACAATTATCCAAATGTTCTTAATTAAATATAAATAAGATTACTGAAACATCTGGATAACATTAGGGTTTTTTACAGCTGTTTGTTAAGACCTGACAAAAGAAACGCAGAATGATGGCAATTCAAGAAATTTCAGCTACGAACTGGAAAAACATTCCTTTTAAGTATCTGGAATTTTGTTCATAAATCTGGCTAATCCATATGGTTCTGCTCTTTACTCAAGCTATAGCATTTAGGCAGTTGGCTTCTCTGGATTCCAATCTACCAATGATATTATTTCTAGCTACAGGTTGTTCTCCACCATGAATATGAATCACAGTTGTCAAAACTTCTCCGGTTTGGTCTAAATGTTTCTGTTCTTGCCACAGGCCAGCTTAACTCCAATAGCCATGACAGAATTAAGTGCCAAATATGAGAGGGAAGAGTGAAAACGAGAATAGATGGAAAGTGAAATAAAGCATAGAGGCTAAAAAAATAAATGAGACAAAGAATAAGATGAGATAAGCAAAACCCTCTCTCCAAAATTCCTGTACAGACTGGTGTAACTGGTGTAATGAAAACTTGCCTGCACCATCCAAGTCATCTTTGTATATAAGGAGGAGGAATATTAAACCCAAACTGTGCATCAAATATAAAATTATATCTACAATTTCTATCACGGTGCTAGAACATATAGCATGCACTCAGGGAAAAGAAATTGGTTGGTATCACTCACCTTATCAAGTTCACTTGTCAGTTTTTTATTTTCTTCCGTTAATAATACTTTTTCTCGTTCATATTGTTGTTTGAATTCATTTTCAAATTCTTCCCTTTCACTTTGACTAACATAATTCGAAATGTAAGGAAATAAAAGAAACTGAATTAAAGGTAAAGTAATTGTATACCATATGCTTCTATTCTGAAAAATAACATATCATAAACGTGCCAAATCCCAATCTCCCCCTTAAAATTAAAAGTCATAGTCATTTCCTTTTATTTAATAGACTTGTCTGCCTACCAACATCTACTTTGTTTTTTTGTTTGAAAACCTGAGGAAGACATTTGTGATTTGTAGACTTTGTGACTGTGTTCACCTTACTTGGTTGCATATATACCAGAAAGTACGGAAAAATGAGATCAGGGCAAGAAAGGGACACGTGGGCCCCAATATGATTCATATTTTAGTATCTGTGCTGCCAAACTGAGCCCTCCAATGTGATTCCTTATACCCAGCTCAAGATTGCTAGCAAACCCTTAGTGAAATTTTCAACAGTTCTCTAAATATATTCACCCCTCCCTTCATTCTTAAGTACCTACCTAACAACACATCCATGCATACATACATCACACATTTAATATTATAAAACTTATTTAAAATGATTGTTCTGAGGGGCACAACTAATTCACCCTCAGAGGTAAACTCAGTGCTAAGAGACTTTTTGTAAACTAAGGGAGAAAGGGTAATCTCATATTCTAAACAACCAAAGAACCAATGAGGAAATTAAAGAAATAAAATACATGGAAACAAATGAAAATGAATACACAATGGTCCAAAATCTCTGGGACATAGCAAAGGAGTTCTAAGAGTGAAATATCTAGTGACACAGGCCAACTCAAGGAGTAAAAAGCAGCTCAAACAATATAACTTTATACCTACGGTAATTGGGGGAAAAAAAAGACAAATGAAACCCAAGGTGACCAGAAGGGAAGAAATAATAAAGACCAGAGCAGAAAAAAAAAAAAAGAAATAGAGATAGAAAGAAGGAAAGAAAGAAAGAAAGAAAATAAAAACCCACAATGAAACCAAGAACTAGTTATTTGAAAAGACAAACAAAATTGATAAACCCTTACCTAGACTCATCAAGGAAGAAAAAAGACTCAAATACATAAAATCAGATACAAAAGAGAACATCTGACACCACAGAAATACAACCAGTCATAAAAGAATACTATGAAAAATTACATGCCAACAAATTGGACAAACTAGAAGAAATGGATAAATTCCTAGAAACACACTATCTTCCAAACTGAATCAGGAAGAAATAAAAAATCTGAACAGATCAATCACTAGTAACAAAGTGAATCAGTAATCAAAACACTTCCAAAAAAAAAGCAAAAACAACAACACTTCCCCAAAATAAGTCCAGGACCAGATGGCTTAACATGTGAATACCACCACACATTTAAAAAAGAGTTAGGGACGCCTGGGTGGCTCAGCAGTTGAGCGGCTGCCTTTGGCTCAGGACGTGATCCTGGGGTCCTGGGATCGAGTCCCACATCAGGCTCCCTGTATGGAGCCTGCTTCTCCCTCTGCCTGTGTCTCTGCCTCTCTCTGTGTCTCTCATGAATAAATAAATAAAATCTTAAAAAAAAAGTTAATACATACTTTTCTCAAACTTTTACAAAAAAACAGAAGAGGACAGAAATCTTCCAAATACATTCTACAAGGCTAGCATCACCCTGATATCAAAACCAGACAAAGATACCACAAAAAAAAGAGAACTACAGGCCAAAATCCCTGATGAACCTGGATGTAAAAATGTTCAACAAAATACCAGCAAACCATATTCAACAATACTTTAAAAGGATCATTCACCATGATCAAGTGGGATTTATTCTGGAATGTAAGGATGGTTCCATATGCACAAATCAATCAATATCATAAACCACATCAACAAAATGAAGGATAAAAATCATGTGATCATCTCAACAGATGCAGAAAAAGCATGTGACAAAATTCAACTTTGTATTCATGCCAAAAACTTCCAATAAAGTGGGTTTAGAGAGAACAGACCTCAACATAAAAAGCGTCATCTATGAAAACCCCGCAGCTAACATCCTCTATAGTGGGGAAAAACTGAGATCTTCTCCCATAAGGTCAGAAACAAGAAAGGACATCCACTCTCAGATCAGTGGAACAGAGATATGTGAAATAAACCCACACTTAAATGATCAATTAATCAATGACAAAAGAAGCAAGAATATACAATGGGAAAAAGACAGTCTCTTCAATAAATGGTGCTGAGAAAACTGGACAGCTACATGCAAAAGAATGAAACTGGACCACTTTCTCATACCACACATAAAAATAAACTCAACACAGATTAAAGTCCTAAATGTGAGATCTGAAAAAATTGCTAAAGAGAGTACAGGCAGTATTACCTGACATTGACCATAGTAACACTTCTTTAGATATGTCTCCTAAGACAGGGGAAACACAAGCAAAAATAAACTGTTGGGACTAATCAAAATAAAAAACTTGCACAGTGAAGGAAACCATCATCAAAATGAAAAGGCAATCTACTGAATGGGAGAAGATATTTGTAAATGACATATCCAATTAGGAGTTAATAACCAAAGTATACAAAGAACTTATACAATTCAACACACACAAAAACCAAGTAATCCAATTAAAAAACAAGAAGAGGACCTAAATAGACATTTTTCTAAAGAAGACATACAGATGGTCAACAGACACATGAAAAAGATGCTCAACATCACGGAAATGCAAATTCAAACCACAATGAGATTATCATCTCACACCTTCAGAATGGCTAACATAAAAAAAAAAAAGAAGTAAGTGTTGGCAAGGATGTGGAAAAAAAGGATCCCTCACGCACTGATGATGGGAATGCAAACAGTGTGGAAGACAGTATGGAGGTGCCTCAAAAAATTAAAAACAGAAATACCATATGATCCAGTAATTCCACTACTGGATATTTATCTAAGAAAAACAAAAACGCAAAGTTGAAAAGATATATGCAACCTTCTGTTTACTGCAGCATTATTTACAAAACCAAGATATGGAAGCAACCCAAGTGTCTATCAATAGACAAATGGATAAGGAAGATGTGGTATATACATACACAATGCAATATTACACAGCCATAAAAAGGGTTGAGATCTTGCCATTTGTAGTAACATGGATGGGCCTAAAGGGTATGAAGCTAAGTGAAAGAAGCCAGACCTAGAAAGACAAATACCATATGATTTCACTGACATGTAGAATCTAAAAATCAAAACAAATGAATACACAAACAAACAAAAAGCAGAATCAGACCCATAAATACAGAGAACAAACAGATAGTTGCCAGAAGGGAAGGACAGTGGAAGATGGGTAGAATGGGTGAGGCAGAGTAGGAGGTGCAGGATGCCAGATATGGAATGAATAAGACATAGAAATAAAAGGCACAGTCTAGGGGATACAATCGATGTTATTGTAACGGTGTTGTACAGTGACAGATGGCAGCTGTAATGAGCACAGGTAAGATTGTGTGTCAACCTAAACTCAATTAAAGAGGCTTATATCTGAGCAGTAAATGAAATTCAATGTGGATCTGTTCTGAGCAATTTCATATGACTGATTCCAAGTCAACAAAGAACATAAGTAATGGCTGATTTTAAAAGTGAAATCTTAAAAACCTCTTCTATCACTGTATTAGTGAATATAAATGAAATTATAATTCAAGTGATAAATTCTGGGAAAATAGACCATCCTGTGTGCAAGCAAATCTGCCACTTTAAAATGTCCAATTGATGGATGAATGGACATAGAAGATGTACACACACACACACACACACACACACACAGAGGAATATGACTCAGCCATCAAAAAGAATGAAATCTTGCCATTTGCAACAACATGGATGGAACTGGACTGTATTATACTAAGCCAAATAAGTCAGTCAGAGAAAGACAATATTATATGATTTCATTCATATGTGGAATTAAAGAAATAAAACAGATGAACATACGAGAAGGGAAGGAAAAATAAAATAAAACAAAATCAGAGAGGGGGACAAACGATAAGAGACTCTTAACTCTAGGAAACAAACAGGGTAGCTGGGGGGGGGTCACTGGATGATGGGCATGAAGGAGGGCACCTGTTGTGATGAGCACTGGGTATTATATAAGACTGATGAATCACTGAGCTCTACCTCTTAAACTAATACTACACTATATGTTAACTAACTTGAACTTAAATAAAATTTTAAAAAATCTTCCTTGATTCAGAAGAAACTCCAAATAACGATAAAAACTTGAAAAAATGACAAAGAAGCCTTTTAGAAAAACATCTACACAAATAAACTGAGTGAAATTTCTATGTAAAACAATTTTTTCCTACTAGCATTACACAAAGCTGAAGTCTCTTCCATACGAAAACAAAACAAACACACTCTTCCCTGAACTCTGTCATGCTTCATTTTCCAATTCCCTGACTTCCTGTTCACTGGAAACCATCTGGAAACCTTGAACAGGTGTGCTGTATCCACTTTCTCATTACCTAACTGTTCCTCACAGGAATCTGGCTTCTGCCAAGCTACAACCACAAAAACTTGTTCTCTCACAACCAGCTGCTGTTCTGTTATCACATCCAGTCCATTGGACACCTTGGACAGCGTCATCCATTTCCTCCCTCTTGAAATGCTACTTTCTCTTGGCTTAGGTAACACCACACTCTATTTCCAGACTTCAGCTCTGCCTTTTTGGTCTCCACACTCTTTCTGTGCTTCCTGTAAATGCCCATGCTCAACTTCTCTCTCCATACATTTCCCCTGAGCTGGCTCATTTACTGCACCACCTGAATCTAATGACCTGTGATGCTGGTGAACTCTGAATTTAGTTGAACCTCTCCTGGGCTTATCTAAACTGCTGGCTTGGTATCTCCACAAAGATATCTTGCCAAGAACCTCAAATTCAACAAGCCCAACTCATGAGAGCATGACACATAACCAAGTTCCTACTACCCTGTTTACTGTTCTCATGCACTCTACCCTCTTCTCTTTCCACAGGTGAGAAGCACAGCTAAGCATCTGCTTGAGTACAGTTCCAATACTTTTCTCCCTCTCTCTCCTGAATCATCTGTTGGATAATTTTTATCAGATTATAAATAAGCTTGATGTTATTTCTTCCAACTAAAAACAGCAACAAAAGGCAAAATAATTTCTTTTGGGATAAATTTCTCCTCCAGCTACTGCTGCACTGCACTACTTGCTTTTCAGAGACTCCAACTACTACTCTATTTTCCAAATGCACCGCTTCAAATCTTGGATCCCACTGTGGGGGTTTTGCCCACTTGTTCCACTGAAATTGTTCCTATCAAAGTTACCAATGAGTCTCATCTTGTTAAATTCAATGATCATTGTTTGGGCCTCATCTTAATTCAGAACTCATCTCATTTAACACATAGACTGATTTGATATGCTTTCATGACATGGTTTCCAGGACACCAAATTTGCCTGGTCTTCTTCCTATCATTCTGTGCTGTCCATTTGGCTGTTTCTTCCTCATTTCCAAACTCCGAAAGACTGGAGCATGCCAGGGCTCAGTGCTGGACCTCTTTCCTATCGATAGCAATCACTAAGTGACTTCATATAGTCTCAATGTTTTAAATACTGTGTGAGTATAAATACTCCCAGGATTTTCTCTCTCACCCTAAAATCCAGGTTGATCTATCCAATGGCCTACATGACAAATCCATGTGAGTGTCTATAAGCATCTTAAACATAACTTTTAAAAAACGAGCTCCTGATAATAGTGCTATCTCAAACGTACTTCTCTTGCACTGTTCCTCTCTAAATGGTAACTACATTCTCCTGTGAAGGTCCCAAACCTCACTATCATCCTTGATTCTTCCTCTTCCTTTCTCACTCCACATCTAGTTCATCAGCAAAAATCAGTCTTTACTTTTAAGGAGTATCAGAATTCCAACATTTCTTAGCCCTGCTTCGGCCTCCACCCTAGGCCAACCCACTGTCCTCTTTGGCCTGGGTATCGTGGACAGCCTTCTAAATCATTTCCATGCTTTTATCTAAGTCAGACTGTTCTTAACCCAGTAGCCAGAGTAACCGTGTTAAAACACAACCCAGTATTTGTCAGTTTTCCCCTCAAAATCCTGTAGTATGTCCCTGCAATGGTTTTACTCAGGGCAAATAACCAGAAGTTGGCTGTCATAAAGCCTTGCATGATCTGATCCTGTACCCTCTCCTAGTCTTTCCCCTTGAGTCTACCTTGGCCATATTGGCCTCATTATTTTTAATAGACTTTTAAAGAAAAGTTTTAGGTTCACATCAGAGATTTCCCAGAAAACACAGGTAGAGCCTCCCCACAACACCCCCACCAGAGTGGAACATGTGTTTTGTCAGTAAACTTACAGTGGACACATCACCACCACCACTCAAACTTCACAGCTTCTATCAGGGTTTGGACATGTGTACGATAGCATGCACCCCATCATCATAGCATCACGCAGAGTAGCTGCGCTGACCTGGATATCTTCCTGGACATCCTCTGCTCTCCCCCAAGCCCTGGGAACCATTGATCTTTTTATTATCTCTATAGTTTTGTCTTCTCCTTATTTCTTTTACCAGACTGTTTTCTGTGTAGAGTGTACTTCTCCTACATCTGTACAGGGGCATCCCTACTTTCTTCAGCCCTTACTTCAATTACCTTCTCAGCATAACTTCCCCAGACTGGCCTATACATACAATTAATCTCCCCCTCAGTGCTTCACGGGCTGGTCCTGTGCCATATTTTTCATTCTTGACACTTATCATTACCTAGTGTATTCTATATTTTACTTGTTTGTAGTCTTTCATCTAACTGAAGGAAAGGTCCATAAAGATGGAAATTTTTTTGTCTGTTCACTGCTATGTTCACAGGGCCTATAACAGTGCTTTACCTACCACAGGTTCTAAAAAAATTTTGTTGAATGAATGTACCAAACTAAATAAATTTTGGCTTTCCATAGAAGTTGAGATTGACAACAGCATATATTCAGCTGCCTAAAATCCAGAAACAGGAGCATCACCAGCAATTTCTCACATCTGGCCATTATGGCACCCAAGGTTCTGGCTCTCTGGGATCTTCTGAGCCCACACGCTTCCCTCCACCTGCAGGGCCAGCACCTGCAGTCCTGCTCTTCTCTCTCGGCCAGGTTCCTACCTGCCAGCTGCTCCCCTCAGCCCCGCCCCCAAAGAAGCAAGGATGATCTTTCACAACCATGTGTATCACCCTGTCACCTGCCTTCAATGGCAAAAGGATGAAGTCCAAACTCTCTGCCCTCCTTCAGGATCTTGCCTCTACTTCCTTCTGCAGACCTACTTCTCACCCTCTCATCTTTCTACAACTCCCCGGTAGGGAAGAGCCTTTGTCTTCTGAATGAGCCTTGCTCCTCTCTTCCTCTCCATCTCAACCCAATCCTGCTACTTCTGTCTGGACACTCTTCCACAGTTAGGTATTTTCTTATTTCTTTGGTCTTGACTTAGATATAATTTTGTCCAAAACACCCAGACACACCAAAGTTTCCTTCTGTGTCTCGTGCACGGGTGCTCCTGCATCTTCCTTGTGCTCCTACTATTCTGTTTGCTTTCCCATCAGGCTGCATTATAATCTACTATTTACCAATCTAGGGCTGGGAGATGGAGACTGCCCATAAATCTCCAATCTCTAGCATACAACAGGCACTCAAGGAATATTTGTGAGACAAGTAAATGACTTGATTCTTACCTCTCTCTTCTGTTTTTCTCTAATTTGTCTTTCAAAATCATGATTTCCTTGTTGAGAGCAAGTTGCTGGCCTTCTGAATCATGAAGTTCTTTCTTCAGATTTTTAATTTCATTTGCATGTATTCCTTCTCTTTTAGACAATTCCTCTTCATAAAAGATACTTTTCTTTTCCAAATCCGTCTTTAGTTTGGATATCTCCTGCTGGTGTTCTATGCTGCACAGTCCTGGGGAGTAACTAATTTGTTTCTGCTATAGAAAAAATGACAAAAAATTGGTTCATCTGTAAGAATAATAAAATATCAAGTAATAACTTCTTTCTACAATATAAAGAACGGTTCGTATAGCTGAACATTATTTTTATATATTATCACCTAAAAATATTTTCTTTACTAAGGCTATTAATCTTTTGTCTGCCATATGCTAGGACTCTCTTTCTCAGTAGCTATTCCTTTATCATGTTGTATTTTACAGCCTTCTTCACACCAAGATTATATATTTATCTGTAATTTCTGCTCAGAGCTATATAATTATATGTTTATATTTTAATTTTTAGTTCATACATAATTATCACTGGTATATGGAGTACCAGAAAAATCTAACTGCATCGTATTTCCTTTTTTTTAATAAATTAATTTTTATTGGTGTTCAATTTACCAACATACAGAATAACACCCAGTGCTCATCCCGTCAAGTGTCCCCCTCCGTGCCCGTCACCCATTCACCCCCACCCCCTGCCCTCCTCCCCTTCCACCACCCCTAGTTCATTTCCCAGAGTTAGAAGTCTTTATGTTCTGTCTCCCTTTCTGATATCTCCCACACATTTCTTCTCCCTTTGCATCGTATTTCCGATGTGGAACTAATAAAGGATTATAAAGATGTTTGTGTCTTTAGAAGATTACACTGGGGTAGGAAATGACAGAGCTAGAATGTACAGCAGGAAAGAGAGTGCTTTTCCAGTGGTCCAGGAAAACAGACAAAGGTTTAATCAAACATCTTCACATCCACTAGAATAAATGATAGGTTTCTTGGCATTTATGTAGGGCATTAGGGACAAGAAATTTAGTTGAAAGCCAACTTTTTAGAAATTATGATGAAATATATTCTCAGTAATAAGGTGCAAGAAATATACAAAGTCCAAAGCTCCTTCCAGACAATGGCTAAACGGTGAACAGAAACATACAGAGATTACACTGAACCTCCCGAGCTTTGTAATTTTTCTATTACTTTGCTATATGCTATTTTCCCAGGTGATCAAAAAAAAAACTTTGAAACCCAAAACACCTATGGGTTTATGTTTAGTGACAACAAGGAATCATGCTCTGGAGGATGTGGTCCTTTTTTTGAAAACAGTATTAAGGGCTGAAAAACTGTTAATAGTTGGTTTAAAGTTGAGAGAAAACTATCCTCGCTTCTTCACATAATTAAAAAAAAGACATCAATTGTTCTGGAGATATGTTTCTGGGGAGTTCATTGCAGTATGCAAGACTCAGACTGTCCAGCAGTTTCTGTGGCAGCCTGGCACACAAAGCTCTGCTGGGACTGGGAGGAGCCACAGCAAGTCAGATTCTGGCCCTACACATCTCTACAAAAAAGAGGCCTAAATCCGCATCTGTGGCACTGACCACTTACCTATACTACTCTTTCATTTTTGTAATCAACTAAAAAACAATCTTAGTTTGCTGTTCTGCTTAGTATAGCTTGGCTGTTGGAATGGTAGCAGCATGCACTTAAGTTTCAAGCAAAAATTACCCTGACATCAAAACCTAATAAAGATACCATCAAAACAAGTCATAGCCTCAAGTCACTTGTTGATAAGGTTGTAAAAAAAAGTCAAATAAAATGCTGATAAAATCAAACCTTATATAAGAAAGAACAATCTACTACCACGAAAGAATAGGTCTTATTGCAGGTATTGAAGGTAACAATACTGGTAAACTTATTAATTAAACATACAAAAATTGCATTACTTTAATAGATTAAATTAAAATAAATCCGGATGACAATCTCAGTAAGTACCTATGCCCAAAACTATTTGATAAAGTCCCATACCCATTCCGAATACTACCTCACATCCCACAATAAAACAAAACAAAACAAAACAAAAAAACAGTAAAGTGATTCTCCTTTACCCATTTTCCAGCTATCAGACAAAATAATACCTACTGGTGAAGCACCAGAAATATATATACAAGAGATTTAGGAATAACCAAAATGGTGTCTACCATTACTTCTTACTTAGTTTTTAGATATTGTCTGAACAAGTAACGTGCAATACTTACAAGAAATGAGTATCAGAAAGAAAAGTGATAAAACTATTATAATTTCCATAAAATTGCCCACAAAATGTAAATAAATCCACTAAAAAGTGTTGTAACTGATAAAGCTGAATAAAGCAACTGCATGTAAGATAAACACAAATCAACAATACTTCTGGGTAGTGGAATGAGCAGTAATAAAACAGTAAAAAAATTTCATTGTTTATAGCAAAAACAATCTAAGAAAAATTATTAGAAACTAATACATGCAGGGGGGAATAACAATAGTGAGTAATTTGAATTATATGAAGAAAGGACAAGTCTATAAAAGACATAAAAGAAGACTTGAAACAATATAGGAAAATATCCACTACTTGAAAGGAAAGACTAAATGTAAATGTATTCAATATTTCTCATATTATACACCTTGTAAATATAATAAAAAATAAATATGGGAGATAGTGCACGAGTGTTCCTTGTATACAAGAAAAATACACTTGTAAAAAATGCCAAACAAAACCCTGGGGGGAAAAGGAATAAAGAGGGAGAGAGAAGAATGTTCTTTTCAGATATTAAAACATACTATAAAAATCTCTAATAAAGTCTCAGTATAGTAAAGCTCTATCCCAAAATAATTCAATATATGAGACATCTTCAGTCACCGAGGAAGGCAGTGATTAACAGAATTGGAACCACCAATTAGTAACAAAAGAATAAAATTATTCTCATAACATCCCATCCAGCAAAACAAATCCCAAGTAAGTTAGATTTAAATATATTTACAAATATACAGAAGTATAATTGACTAGAGTTAAATATTTTTAAACCCAATAGAAACATCCAGGAGAAGGCAGAATTACATACTTAACAAACTAAAAAAAGGACAAGCCAAGTTTTGAAGCAATAAAAGAAACAGTAAGGAAAATAAGAACAAGTCTCCTGTAATCTGAAAAGGAAACAAGACCAAAATTAAAGGGCAAATGATAAGTGAATAAATAGTTGTGGAAAAATGGAAGGAAAATATAGTTTTTACTATGCAAAGAGTTTATATGAATTTTAAGAGAAACAGTTAGCCTGCAAATTAAAAAGGCAAATGACGAAAAGCGGTAATTCACAAAGAAAAAATACAATTAATAATCTAATAACGCAAGAAATGCCTCTTATACTTGCAACAATTTGTGGCCTGCATCAAGTGCCTTACAGTGATCTGACAATTTCATTTCTAGATATCTAGTTTAAGAAACAATATCCAAAAATGCAATGCACAGAAGTGCTCATGGTAGTGGCCGTGTTGAAAAAGTGAAACATAAATATTCAATAGTAGAGAACTGGACTAAGTGGATATTCTTCTAGACTCATTAAAATCATGTTTGTGACAGTTAGGTAAAGAGCGTAACTGCTTGTATCACACTTTCAAGTGAATAATTACATGTGTTAAGAGCTGAATTTTGTCCTTCCAAAATTCATGTTAAAGCATGTTAAGCACTAGTACCTCAAATAGTCTCAAATACTGCATGATCTGACTTATATGTGGAATCTAAAAAAGTCAAACTCTTAGGAGCAGAGGGTAGAATGGTGGTTGTCAAGGGGAGGGGTATGGAGGAAATGAGAAAATGTTGGTGAAAAACAAAAGTTTCAAATAGGATGAATAAGTTCTGGAGATCTAAGGTTAAAGCAGGGTGACTAAAGTTAACAGTACTGTATTGTATACATGAAATTTCTAATAGGGTAGATCTTAATTGTTCTCAGCCAAAAAAAAAAAAAGATAAGTGACAGTATGTTAATTACCTTGTTGTGGTACATATTTCACAATGTATACAGATATTTAAACATTACATTTTATACCTTAAATATATGCAATTATTATTTGCCAATTATATCTCAATAAGGCTGGAAAAAGAAAGTAAAAGTAGGGTCTTTACAGAGGTAATTGACTTAAAAGGAGATCTTCAGGGTAGGCCCTATTCCAATAAAACTGTATCCTTATAAAAAGAAGAAATTTGGACTTGCAGTCTTGCACAGAGGGAGAAGGCAGAGATCCAGGTGATACATAAGCCAAGGAATGCAAACCATCAAAAGCCAAGCCTGCCAACACTTTGATTTCAGGTATCTAGTTGCAATAATTGAGACAATAAATTCTGGTTTCTCAGGCTACCCAGTTTCTCGTAATTTGTAGCAGCCCAACAAACTAATATAACAGGGTAAAAAGTTCTTGTAGCATATGATCACAATTGAAAAGTTGTTTGTTTTTTTAAAGAGCCTTACTGACATACTATTCATATACCATACTATTCACCCATTTATTTTTTTTTTAATTTTTATTTATTTATGATAGTCACAGAGAGAGAGAGAGGCAGAGACACAGGCAGAGGGAGAAGCAGGCTCCATGCACCGGGAGCCCGATGTGGGATTCGATCCCGGGTCTCCAGGATCGCGCCCTGGGCCAAAGGCAGGCGCCAAACCGCTGCGCCACCCAGGGATCCCCTATTCACCCATTTAAAGTGTACAATTCAATGATTAATTTTAAGTAGTATATATATATATATATATACCATAAAGTTTTATCATTTTAACCATTTTAAGTGTAGAATTCAGTAAGTATTAATTACATTCAGAATGTTGTGCAACCATGACCACTATGTATTTCCAAAACTTTTTCATTATCCCAAAGAGAAATTCTCCAACCAGTCAAGAATAATTTCCCATAACCCACTCTACCTGGCCCCTGGTAACCTCGTTTACTTTTTATCTCAATGAATTTGCCTATTCTAGGTGTTTTATACAAATAGAATACTACAATACTTGTTCTTTTTTGTCTAGCACCTGTCACTTAGCACAATGTTTTCAAGATTTGTCCATGTTGGTGCATGTATCCTTATGATAGTTGAGTGACATTCCACTGTATTGATTTATTTACTTATTTTTTTAAAGATTTATTTATTTATTTATTTATTTATTTATTTATTTATATTATATTTATTTATTTATGATAGA